CTGCCTTCGTGCTTGTAACAATCCCTGCAGTGTTTTGTCAGCTGGGAGTTTGATTCAAGTTTGAAAACCAAGACTATCGATCGGACAAATCCAATGTCAGCAAAACTGCTGTACAGTTTGGCAGTCAATTGATTGACCAAAATTGTAAGCAACAAAACAACTTTTATTTGCAAAAGAAAAAGGAAAACGCAGTTTGTTCTTGAATCAAAATATTAGTTTCAAAACTGTATGGTGAAAAACAGTCTTGGGATATGCAATTATTTACAAGAAACTATAGGTTTCAAAACCAAAGCTATTAAATTACACGACTGGGAAGTTGCTGACAATGAAAGTGGTCATTTCCACAAAGTGAGGTTTGTTGTCCGATGGAACCCATACGATATTATTCACCTTTAAGAAATCAAACGCCGTGTATTGTGTAGAACGAGGTCGAGAAACAGAGTTAGGATTAGCGTTATGCAGCCAATAAAAATCATTGATTATAGTCTACATACCTTATTGATGAGATGGTTCAAACGTCAAAACAAATCGAGTCAACTTCTCAACACTCGCAATAGTATCGTTTTGTGACAACACTTGACCATCTGTTCCGTGGTAGCTTTGGTGTGTAAAACAGGCAAAACGATCAGGAGGTACAACAAAATACAGTTCTGGTTTTGACGGATCACCAAGTATTTCCAAAACATCACAAAGTTCAGTCTGTTTGCAAGGATGATCTTTGGCACCAGTCATTTGGAAAAGTAGATTTGGCTTGATGAACGAATCAACAGATTCAAAAATATTGCTAATGGGACGGAAATAGCAATTCGTTGCGTCTTGAACTTGAGAATTGTTGGAGAATAACAAAGTACTAAGATCCATCGGCAGTTGAAGTGTAGACTCCAGCTTGGTACGTAAATCACGAATCTTGAATGAGCCACCTTTAGCGATGACTGTATGAGCGTGCTTTTCAAATAATTCCCTATTAAGTTGACCAGTTTCACCAATTTCTCGAGTAACAGAAACGAATCTGATAAGATGATCTCGGTCTCTGGCATAGACACGGTTGTAAATTTCATCAACCACATAGTCAAAAGCAAACTGATAAGGACCACTGTGAAAGCCATCCTTGACTGATATATGAATCAAACAACTTGAAGCGTCTAGGTTTTCACCATATTTACCAAAAGACTTGACAACTGAATCGATATTGGAAATATTTAAAGCTTTGTCGAGAAAATTCTGTTTTTCTTTTACCAATGCATATTTAAGAACATAACGAGCAATTCCTCCCCACTTCAAATACAGACTTTCAACCAATTCTTGTGGGACTGTAGGAAACAGCATTGAGCGACAGGAATGCAATTCTTCTTTTGACCACACTGGCATATACCGAATGTTGCAGGATCCCTTGGAAAACCGATGCCAAATTTCCCAACGAGGTAAAGTAACAAGAATGGTCTTGGCATCAACATCAACAGGTGCTGAGCCATCAACAATGTAGAATGTTGACGAGGAATCCAAGATTTTCCAAAAAGCATGCTTTCCTCCTTCGAGTACACCATTGGGAGTAAGCAGATATCTTTTTTGATCGGCTCCACTCTCATACACGACTGTAGCACCAGAGCGAGCAAGATGCAACAGCAAAAAGTAACCAAAATATGTCTTGCCAATTCCAAGATTTCCAAGGATGATCAAATGACGTATATCAGCAGATTGCACAATAGATGGTGATTTTTCAAGAAGTTTAGGATAACAAGGACGGATGAAAATGGATGATTCAATTGAATGGTTTCCAAGGATGAATACGTCTGCTGGAAGTTGGACAACAGTGTTTCCTTCAAGAGGGTTAGGGTAGTTTGTGAAAACAGTCCAAAAATCCAGTAGTGCGGGTGAGGCTGCTGCAGATGTTGGACCTAGGTAAGTTTGAGTAGGTTGTCTTGGAGATGGAGGTAAACAACCAATAACAACACAATAACCATCTTGAGTAAAGTATTATCGAGGAAGAGAGTCGAGTAAAGCCCAGGTGTTGATTAGTTGGTCCTTGTTACTGTTGGTGTAGAGTTGGAGTTGAGGAGCATCAATGTCAGCCATAGCAGGACCATACTCAGACTTGATAGCATCCTGAACTCCACTCAGGTCTTCAAAGTCAGTCACATCGATTTCAGCAGTAAGTGTGCCATATTCAACATTGAGGAATCGTTTTGGCATTTTATGAAAAGAAAAAGAGTAAAAAAGCAATTTATTTGTCAAATTGTAAAACAAAAATCGACTTTTTAATCGAGTCAAAATAACAAAATTTTGGGATATTTCAAGACAATTCACACGATTTAAATATTTGGAAATTAGTCAAATTTACACCAGAATTAATGTCTCATTAATGTGAGACATTACTAGTGCGAGAGTGTTGACTTGCATTGTGTGAGACATTAGTAGTGTGTGAATGTGAGACATTTCTGAATAGTTTAACAATCAAAAACCATCAACAATGACGTTTGAACTGGAATTCACATGACTTCTTGGTTTCTTCCATTTTATAAACACACTCACTTCCTTGTTAATAAACAATACAATCGAATATTGATTCATTCCATCACATCTTCAATCAACTGCAACACACTTGACAATAATGACAACCATCAATATGCCATCATATGTTCACAATCTTCAAATTCAAAAGTCAATTTGAAACCCCCATTTTTAAGCATCTACAAGTCTGCAATATCAGATTTGTGGCTGGTACATAATAGGTTGCCAATAAAAGTCGACAAAGTGAGCAACTGCAATGTGCCTTGCTGTATGATAGTAACATATCAGAAATTATGAATGCTTTCAAAACCAAAAGTCTGCAAATGATGTCACTGCTGGCTTGTAGCCTCTGTTTACAAACCTACAATCAACATACTCACTGGATTCGTATAATGGTAAATGCTGAACCACAAACTGCTGATGATATTATTATGGACGATGCTCATATTATTGGAAATCAAACGATTGGTGCAGTTTCAGATGCTGTTTCATCACACAGAAAGTCTTGCTACAGAGTCTGAATCCAATAGCAGTGAATCTGCAGTTTGACACAACACAGTCAATAATTATCGTTTGAAACTCGAATCAAGTGATGATGTTGCTGTTTCAGATGCACTCAATATCATCAATGCAGTAACATTGAAACCAACTCAAATCATTGATCATGAACCAATTTACCGTGTCTTGATAAAAACACTGATAAACCATCATTCATACATGAGCTTGTCAAAAGTATGAACCGATTGCTAATCAAAAGTTTAAAGTGGAACTCAAAACAGTTCAATTCAATGTGCAGCTTTCCCACGACTTTCCCGCTACAAAAAATACAGTCTTGGAACTCAAGGTGTACATCAACAATACTTGTGTGTATTGACCATCAATGATGTTGTTGGTGTATCATACACAATGTGCATTGCATAAACGCTTGTTTGTTTGCTGGAGCTATTTCAAGCAAGCAAAAATACTAAAAGGTTCAGTTTGATGAATGTCTGGTGTATATTTACAATGAATTCAAACTCGAGAGATTGTCGTACTTTGCATACAAGACATACTACAATATATTACAACAATATCGTGTATTTCAATATGCACCCATTCGATTTACAACAGTGGCATAAGCATCATCACATTTGAACAATGGTTCAGTCGTACAAAGTCCAATAACAGCCATGAATTGTATCAGACATGAACATACTGGTGCAAAATTCACATCAAATAACACACCGCAACAAACATGTTTCTGGTAGATGGTGGAATTGATGTTATTGATTTTCAATTACACGATATTGGTGTTGAATGATTCAATAAACTATACTCGTCGACTTTTTGTACTTTTTTCAGTTGCATTGTTTCTGATTCCGAGTTTAAAGCATAATAGTTGCAACAGCGCTGTTGTCCAATTTGCTTGTTGTTGTGAATAGCAATCATGATACCACTTGTTTGACGCTTTCTGTTGTTGAACTGGATATGGATGTCAAATTTGGATGTCAAATTTTGATACATTGCAAGTAATTGTTGTAGTTTTTGATCGAGTCAATGAATGGCATTTATAGTTGCTCTAGAAAACAAGTTGTTTGAAATGTCCTGTCATATGTCATATGTTTTATTGTTTTCATGTTCACTAATTGTTGATAATGCATCCAATTGATTTCTGTTTTGACGCTGCTTATTTGTCATTGTTGGATATGGGTTTCTAGATTCAGTAACAAACGTTTCAGCAATTTGGATGTGTTCAAATTCATAATACTTGCAAGTCTGAATTATTTGATCATCATCTGAAATTGGATACGAGTAATCATTTCCACTAACCACAGTATACATAGTATACACAGCATTACTGTATATTGACTTGTATTTTACTCAAAGGTTTGTCCATTCAGTATTCCAACACAATTTCCAACATTGATTGAATGGTTTGCAGTGTTTGTTTTAATTGAACCACTTGATGGATCACTTTCATATCTTGATTCAGCAATATCACCAACTGCACAATGATGGATGCGATTGTAGTCAAACACAATATTTTGCAAGGCATTAACGTATTGGTTAGTTTTAGTATATTCTTGATAAAATGCAATGATGTTTTGTAATGGGGTGTTGAATCCTTCAATCAAACATTGTATGTTGTGATTTCCAACATTGACAGTGACATGGCAAACACATTTTGCTTGTGACAGACTTTGAACAGGTGTATTGTTCCGTTTGCTGTACAATACACGACATGATCAGTTGGTGGTATCATGCAATCATACAACTGACAAGTGATTGCAAGTCCGACTGATAGTTACAATCAACACTGGTTGTTATCAGGTCATTGATGTATATGGAACAAACCATGTCAATGTATCAATCAACAATCCAGTAACTGCTGATGTAATACCCAACACAGTATACACAATCAATGATATGGTTGTTGACCCATTCACAATACTCGACAAATATCAACATCAGAAAGTTTAAATTTATTCAAAATCAAATTCATCGACAAATCATCAATCCAAATCCAAACCCGGTTCTTCAAATTCCAAACCACGCCTTTTCATAAACCTTTTCAACTGATGCCTTAACTCCCACACTCTTTTTCCTGCATCTCTATACTCTTGTTTCAATTTCTTTTCAGTGTCTGGATCGTACGTTGACCCTGATATATCTTCTCCCCTTTCTAGAGCTAGCTGGTGTTCCAATCCAAGGAATTCATAATCCCAATATTTTTTGTGCTTTTTCTTTTGTATTTCTTTTGACTCTACAAGCCTTTGCTTTATACGATTAAAGCTTCTCTGATATCTTGGGCCTAATACAGTCACTTGATTTGAACTAATATTGGCAGACTCGCCTTGTCCCATTGGTTGTTGCTGGTCTTGGCTGGAAGTACTTGGAATGGGTTGATCAATCGGTTGTTTCCGACCTTGTTTTGGAGCACTTGGACTGGGTTCATTAGTTGAACCAGATGCTTGGCTAAAAATGCTTGGCCTGATTTCATTGATTGGCCGTTTCCGACTTCGTTTGGAAGTACTTGGATTGGGTTGATCCATTGGCTGTTGCTGACTTTGTTTGGAAGCGTTTGGATCAACTTCATCCATTGGTCGTTGCTGGTTTTGTCTGGAAATCAGTAAATCAATCACATCCATTATGCGCTTTCGACCTTGTTTGAAAGTACTTGGACCAGTTACAGTTGCAGTCGATTGTTGACCTTGATTAGGAGTATTTGGATCGGGTTGATCCATTATCCCTTGCCGGATCCGGCTGGAAAGGCTTAAATCCACTGGTTCTTCCTGGTATTCATCGGAAGTAACTGGATTGGGCTCATTAGTTGAAACGGACACTTGACTCAAAGTTCTTGATGCTTGTGGTGAATCATTGTTATCAGTCGGTATCAGTATTGCATTAGTGGTTGCTGCTGCAGTCAATACGAATAGAATATCAACCAATTTCATTAGACTGGTCAGTGAGTTTAAACTATTAATACAAAAGTAGTGTTGAAACGTGTCAATTATAAAGTTGAACATACTCGATTGTATTTGTATGTTTTGTATATTAAACCAACCCTAACCCTTTTAGGTTAACCAATATACAGGGATATTTGATTGCTTGTAGTGAGAAACCATCAAACTAGACAGTATGCTGCTCCCTATCCACAATATCATATTGATCAATTTGATGTTCATGTCGATTGAATTATGCTTTTACGACCCTTTTATCAGGTATATTGAAAAGCACCCTTCATGAGTGTTGTGCAGCCACAAACACTTTGTTTTACAACCGTATTCAAGTAAAATGGATCACTTTGATATCCATCCAACAATGTCTGTGTTATGCATTGCAACATACAATGACTACTACACATTGACTGCATTGCGTGTTTGATATACAACGGCCATCATATGACACACAATCAGACTATAGTGTTAAATCTACACTTTGTGCACTCTTAGTAACCATGCATTGTATGGTCACCAAGTTTGAACCCATATTCATGTATTGTGTTTGACTGTCAATAATGTCAATACAACTCTGTACACACATTTGTTGTATTCTGAATCTCGGATACGATCGCAATCTAGTTCAACAACAATCATGACACATGTCAGTAATGCAGCTGTTTATTTCACACACCAACACTGTTATTTAGTGGTCTATTTACATCAATATGGCTGCAAATTGTCGTTATATCACATATTCTGGACATGGTTTTGATATTACGCATCCAGTTCCATCATATTGTTTCTGACCCATTATTGTAATGCTGTATGTCACCATAATCATGGACATGAACATGAACATGTGGTTTCACGTATAATATTACAACCATGCATGTCGTTAGTTGAATCATCACTACTAGTGTATACTACACTACACTACATGTATGTTGGCATGTGTTGTACCAATTTGATTGCATTGCTACAATGTGGCATGCTCCAACCTGTTTGAATGACTGTTGTGCAACATATTGGTATTGACCACATGTGATACTGGTCACCAACAAAGTGATCAGCGGTATTCGATCGTATCATTCAATCACTGACTGCCAATACTTCAATTATGAATATTATTCACCATTTCATGACACCATCTGATACATTCAGTGCACAGTAGCTGATTGGTGCAATATGATCAATTCAAGCATACTATTACAATGAAAATGGTGGTGACAATGCAAGGTGTTTATTGGACAAACAAGACTGAATGCTTACATGACAAATGCAAATTGACAGTATAAATCATATATACACACTGCAGTACAACATATTCTAAACAAGGTTGTTGATAGCGTGATTCCAGTTTTACAATGAAATTGAATTACCAAGCAGTCGAGTGTCCAAACATTGATTTACTATACACTTTTAGTTATGGTGGTTTGCGTAGAAATGTTCAAGTATGCCTTCTATATCCAATGAACCTCATCATCTGTCGTTTGAATCTATTAAACTTTGAACGTAATGAAGGAAGTTGAATATCATATTCTTGCAGTACACTAGATTCACTTGAATATCTAGCAATTTTAGTCGTTGGTACAAAGTGCACTTTAGCTTCCCTTGAACCAGCATCGTGACTTGATTTCTGATGATGTTTTTTAGAATGATCGTGTTTTGAGCCGTGGGGTTTAAAAGTGGATCCGGGTTTCAAGATGGATTTTAATTCTGGAGTAGGTTCAGATACAACTCTGATTGATTCTTCTTCAAGAGGTTCAAGAGCCAACTTGCGACACACCCATAATCTTCCTAGTCTCAGTTTCCTGAATTTCTTTTTATCAGATGAGCTCATTCTACGCCTACGCCCTGATTGTTTAGCCGTTAGTACTCTTTCTTTTGCCTTGGTGCTCATCTTGTGTGGATATCCGTCTCCAACATCAGTTGGAATTTCCATACCCATATTCCTCATTATTTTTTCGACTCTATCCAGTTTTTGCTGAGGTGTGAAGATAGGCCGTTTGTTATCTGGGACATATTTTTTAGGAAGATGGCAGACGTCGTCATATAGTGTGTTGTCAAATATATCATCGTCTGACTGTTTGGACTCAGAGTATGACGATGATTCATCGGACTCTTCAACAGAACTGTCTGAATCATCGGGATCTATAGTCGACTGAGCTACATCATGATTGGTTTCAATAGATTGTTGTTCTGTTCCAGTTGAAGTGCAAATACCAGTGTGTTGCTGCATGTGTGTTGAACATTCTTTTACAGGTTCTGATTCGCTGATAGACGGACGATCAATGACTACCGCACTGACTGTCACCGACAACAGCAACAACACAATAGTCGATATGAATTTCATCCTGTCGACCAAAATGAATGTGATAAAGCTTGTCGATTAGTAGGACATTTCTTGGTAATGAATGGGTCAGTTGTGGATATGAACCATACCTTCATAGCGATTAAATATATAATCAAGACATACGGGTTATATGAGCTTATGCAGCAACAACTCGACCGCCATTTAGGTATATGTAGCACAGATACTCATGTGTAGGCTGTTTTATGCACAGCCTTTCAGCCATTGAATGAAACAGGACTCATAGTCAAGGACTGGTGACCCTGACCCATATACTAAAGAATATGTCAAGATCGATTGGTATAATCAGTCAGTTTCAGGTTACGGTCAGTATAGGGTAACGGTTTATCCACACAACAGCTGGTCAAATATTAGTGGTAAAATCCTTCAAACGACTCTGCCTCAACACTTGATCTAGTGATATGATACTGTGTTGCAGTCCTGTTCAATGCAGTATGGATTGATGGTCATATCAGCAATATCAATACTTTATACCAACTGTAATACTTTCAATACGCAAACTCAAAGTATTGCCAATGATTAGAAAAGCTTCAACAGAACTCTTGAACTGTCAATTGTCATGCTATCAATAGTATGAACATCCGACTCAATACTGTACATGACTGGTTGTCAAGAGTCTTGCAACATTTACTTGTCAAACTGGATTCCTGTTTCGATTATACAAACATGGCATCAAACACATGTCTACTTTGAAACAAGACGTTGAGTTGAATGTCCAGCAATATACAAAAATATACAAAAACAGCACGAATTGAATGTCAAAACTCGATTACTAACAATTTCAAATCTACAGAAACGAATACGACAACTTGCAGTCTAGTCATGTAAACGGAATACTAACAGTGTTGGTGTGTGATAAACAGCCAGTGTCATGACATGGTTGACAATACAGTGGTGTTGTTGGTGGTGATTGGCATGCAAACAACAGTTGCATTACTGACATGTGTCATGATTGTTGTTGAATTAGATTGCGATCGTATCCGTGATTCAGAATACAACAAATGTGTGTACAGAGTTGTATTGGCAACATTGACAGTCAAACACAATACATGAATGTGGGTTCAAACTTGGTGACCATACAATGTATGACTACCAAATGTGTCGAGTATCCATGCAGAATACTAAATGGTAATATGTGATGATTCAAGGACTCGTATCACCAATGTTTGTGTGCCATAATTCCACTATTTGACTTGGTAAACAATAGGAATTACACCTATTGATCAATTTACTTTTCTGATTGCTCATCATACATTCTACTTGTTTGTGTCACCAAGATACAAACAATCAATTACTACAAGACTGACTATAACTCATATTTATTAATAAATGACTCTTCCAACCATTTCAACATATTATTGTTTTATTACATCTTTTCATTATCATTGAAAACCCCAAATCTGCTGATCCTGAATTATTGTGCAACACCCATTACACTTTTGATTTGTTATTTTCTGTCAACTACTAACAGTTACAGATCATACACACACCTCCATTTAAATTAATATAAATCAGATTACACAAAACTCCAACAGAGTTGTTGGTTGTTGATGGGCAAGTTGGATATAAAGTTGTTTTCAATCAATCTGTTGGCAATCATGATAGCATACTTTGATTTGTATGTACGCAATACTGCTGTCATCTTGTGTATGATGTTTTCTATTTCTACAAACACATTCCATTTCCAGCTGTTTTTTGTATACATTTGATGTTGTGTAGCATGTTAAAGGATTTAGGTGTATCGAAGTAGAATATACAAGATAGACAAAAATTACCGAGTCTTTCAACAAGTAATAATATAATATAATATGCTGCTATATAAAATATTGGTAACGCTGGGTTTTTTGAAAAGTAAGAGTAGTGGTATTGAAACATAAGGGTGATAATGGAGATAATGAGGAAATGATAAATTAGGGAGTGTCCAATGCAAGTACTAATGCTTGCTTGTTAAGGGTTAAAGCTTAGATATCTTGCTTGGATATTACAACAGATACACGCTAACCATTCAAACTATACGTAAACGGCCAATGTCTGATTGCTTCAACATAACAATAAGGGTGTAAAATGTAGTACAGAAATAGACGACTAAACTACATTTATTTCAATGAGTTTAGCACTCTTGTTCAAGTAAAACGGTATCATCCGATGCTCACTACACACTACTTGTACGTTTAATCATGCCAATCACTTGCTATTTTAACAAGCATGGAATATCACGGCACATATTGATGACCATTTAATAGCCGAGTGTCAACTCATTCCAGTTTTGGTTTATACTCATTTCTTGGCCCTAACCCTTGACCATAACCCTTTTTAGGGTAAAGCTGCATAGCCAACCATATGATATTCGAATGTATGGTCAGATAGCAGCTCAGCCAAGGTTACAGGTCAACATATAAAGGGAGACTCTTCAAAGTTTGGCATTGACAACAAATCAATATCAACCCTGACAGTAATACTAGTCCTTGAAACGACCATTCAAGGAATATGCTTTTAATATCATTTATTCAATAATGTATATAAATACAGTTCAAAAACCGACTTGTTGAATGACATTACAACTTGCTCAACCAAACCAGTAGAATGAAACTCGCAGTTGCTGTATTGTCATCGATCCTGCTTGTTTGTTCAGTCACTACAGCCAGCCCAGTCAATCCCAGTGCAGCTAAAAATACTGGAGCTAGCACTTCAACCTTCATTCCTAGTGAAAACGGTATAGGCTTGGGTGCTCTTGATGATCCAATTCCAGATAGCGGTCAAGCATTTACTCGACAAATACGCAGAGATACAGGATGGTCGTAATCAGCAAAGCAAAATATATTGGCCGTTAGAATCTCGATATGACAGTCAATATGACGTGCTAATGGGCTATGAAAAAAGATCTTAAAGTTCTGGAATATCTATCTCAAGACGATGACAGCCTAAAATATTATATTGAAATTCGGAAGACTAAGCTTGATCATGAAAAACAACTATCCAAACTTGACAAAATTCGAAAAAGTTTTTATGAGTGCCAGTCCGAGATTGGTCGTATTGTAGAAAAAAAGTCGGAAACCGATAAAAAGATTGTGCGTCTCATTTTCGGAACCCCTCTGGATGTTGTAATAGTTATTTACAAATCTTCGCTTATCAAAGAAACGCCTTCCGTTAAAGATTACCTTGAACAACAATCATCAAAATACGAGAGTCTTGATCGAAAATCTGGTGCTCGACGAAAACGCAAAGATTTGGAATCATCGGACGAAGAATCATCAGAGGAAGAACCGGATGAAGAATCCGAATATAAATTCAATCGGAAGGGTACTTTCAGTATGCGGAGAGCTTCCTCCAAATTTATCACTAGATTTGGATCATTTTTTCAGCAATCCAAACGTGACGATCCATCCAATTGATTTGATTGATTTGAATGTTAATCTGGACTGATTTCAACCAATTCAATTGTATTTCTGGTTTAATTTACAATAAAATTGGATTTGCATGCATTATATCTGATTATTACACAGTCTTGGTTGACATGGTATCATATTGTACATTGACACTTGTATTTCCAATACGATACAATACAGTTGATTGTATATTGCATAGTTGTACACATTGATGATGCTGACATGCATGTGTGTATTGTGTCGATATGACATTGCTTGACATGTCGTATTGACACATGCAACACCAATACCAACAACAGTCATGTGTGTTGATATCAGATCCGACCAACTCGATCAATTTGACTGGTTTGACTCGTTGATTGTGGTGTCAAAATGGTTGTATCAATAGCCTGACTGATCACACACATCAGTCGCAGTATCAAGTTTGTAGTGTGTTAAATATCACATGTTGAATATACAATGCCAACAATATGGCCATTATGCACATGTTGATGTATGCAGTGATCGTATACTGGTCGATTGGTGCAATATGATCACACATACTAATGGAGTGTGATAATCATGGTATTTGCAGCAGTATACCATATTCCAACTGTTGATATCGCGCATCCAGTATCGACATGATCATCCAGATATACAGTGATGGATTCAAGCAATGCATACCATGATTGAGCTACGCGATCATGATGTGTATTCAATCAATACCATGTATTGCCAATGCAATAGTATGCGTGATCATCGTGTATTAAACAACTACAATACACACTCAACTGATCCAATACATGCACGGCTTGAACATATCACACAATCAAACATGAACACACCACATTAAATATACATATAGTAGCAGTTTGTCACTAATGAATTGTATTCAGTCGAGTTTATTGTGAGTCTGTTTGTGACTCTTGACAGTGTGGTGAGTGTTTTCAGGTACAGCTATTTGATCAGTTGTAGTTGTTGGTCTCCTTTTGCGAATAAATGTGCCATCTGAACCTGAAGTAGTTGGTTGTTCAGGCAATCTAACACTATGCACCAAATTCATGATCAATATCAATTAACACATACACACACCAATATCAAACAACTTACTGTGGTAATGGCCATAGTACTTGATAACCGTTCGAAATAGTAGGATATCCATCAGCCATGACTTCACATCCACATCCAGGACCAAACCCAATGCGTTTATGTGCTCGATCAAATGTCAATCCAAGTCGGGTCATAAATGGAATACCAAGAATTACATTGTCATTTGAACCAGCTGCTACAATAAACACAACTATAATTCGACATTTATATTAGTCAGGTTAATCAAACAATACATATTGCATACAATTGTCAATTATTTACATCTTTCAGAATCATATCTCTGTATATAGTCTCGAGGACCCAATTTGATTGTTACAACGGAGTTGCGATTGGAATCAGTTACTGGGTTTTGAGCAAACATTGTAATTGAAAGCGTTGGCAGCTTGCCCCAATCAATATTAAGTTTGGATTCAAGCATTGCGTAGTGTTCCCAAAATATTCTTTTGATTTCTTCCGAGTTGAGTTTGTTACTATACATAGCTTTTTTGACAGTAATCGCACCACTATCAAGAATAGCATCAATCAACGCTTTCACGACTACTTCAGGAAAACGTATATATCTAAAACATGTTTGTATAACCGAATACAAAGTACGTCCATCTTTTACCCTTTTTTGGAATTCCTCGGGTAGATTCACTGGTTTGTCATTGATTAGTATACTCTTGATGTTGACAGTATGGCGACCGTCTGGTGGTGAGTCTACCCATGCAACACTCCTTCCATCCGTTCCGCATTTTGCAGTTACGTCCGTGTTTCCTATATTGATGAAGCTATTTGAAGTCATTTCATACGGACATAGTTGAAGACTAACCTCGTTATTGGGAATAATACCACCATTGTACAAAGCATCCATCGCAGTGATTCGTGAGTGATGATTTGACAACAAGGAATTGCCGAACCCAAATATTCCATCAAACTCTGGATCGATACCAACTAGATCTGGCGATTGTTTTCTAACTGCTAGTACTGGTAATTTGATGTCAGTTATCCTAGTACCCGGAATCGTCACAACTGCATCGGAACTAATTCCTCTATACTCATTGCCTTTGTAATCTATAGTAACGGGTTCCCCATTTGGAGTGTGTTGCGGAGCCAAACTCACATCGCTGCTTAAACTAGAAAGTGGTACAATTATACTGGAAATCGCTGAATCGACTTGTAAATTCAACTATTTTAAACAAGTGTGAGATTGATTAAACGTAGTACAAACTGATATCAAACTACAATGCATGACATGATACATACATTGACTCCATCAGCATTGACTTTAATTGTGTAGCATTTCTTGATATCACCATCCAACACAACGGGTGATCGCTTTGACAGTCTATTGTTTGATTGACTGGTAGTTCCAATTGGTGATTCTAATGCAAGTCGAACTGCAGCAACCGCCTGTAACGCAAGTAGAATGCATTCTAGAGTAATCAGCATTGTATCGAGTATTGTAATGAAAATGGGTTGAATCCGGTACATGACTGCTGTTTTATAACGACGGCAGTTTCAAGGGTGACAATCAGCACTTTTCAAATGGATATTTATAAAACACAAATGCACCGTGTAGGGTGGGCAAAGCCAAAAACACACCGTAGGGTAGATCAATATACAAGCATCGCTGTTAGTGGAAAATCAACCTCGGTATTATGCTGCGTTGATCTCTCCAATTGCGATCATGTATTCAGCAATCAGGTAGTGTCAGATCATTACCCTGATTATGGATAGTTGTCATCACATACATTCCATCACTACAGCATATACTGTCACTGTATACCAAATACTTGACTGATTGTTCAATTGGTCATGTATTTGATTTGTCCGAGTGATTCAAACCATGTGGAAATGGTTGTTGAAATATAAATATATATCATCCAAAGTTGATTCAGATTGTCGCTAGCTGTAATCTGTTGATCTGTCAATGTGTGACCATGTGTCAATGCACACAGTAAACTTGAAACCAACTTGCATAGTTGTCAATGTTCAAATCAAAGCCGCAAAGTTTCATTCTATTTATCATCGTTCATTGTTCATGGCTCATGGATAGCTGATCAATAAATCACATTCGACATGATTGACATGATTATTTTGTTGGACATATCTCAGTAGATTTGTTTAGTTACGATTTCAATCAACTCAACTGCTTTGGAAATAACAGTGGTGGCATAGTAAATGGTTTTAATAGCAACAATTCATATCGATTTTGCAAGATTCATATTTTTGATGTAAAAAATCATGGACTACAACACCGATGAATACGTATTCTCTAACAAGAACAGGAATGAAATTGTTTAATGATAAACGATCCCGAGTAGGTTTTGAAACACTTTCAGCTGAATTGTAAAAAAATGATTTCTTATTTTAGGTTATGGATAAGCTTTACGAATTGTATTACAGTCCCAAGACTGGGTTCGTTTCAGCGCAGAAATTATACCTGAAACTGAACAAACAACTTCCAATGTCACAAATCAAAAAGTTTCTTGACCAGCAAGAAGTCCATCAACTTCATCAAGAATCACAAAGAAAGCCAGCATTCAGCCCTATAACTGTTTATTCAGTCAATGACCAATGGCAAGTGGATTTGATTGACTTGTCTAAATATTCAAGATGGAATGCTGGATACAAGTATCTCTTGTGCGCCATAGATGTATTTAGTAGGAAATCATTTGTGGTGGCGATGAAAAAGAAATCAGATACTACAGATGCAATGAAGTTAATACTTGACGTGCAAAAGCCTATTCTGATTCAAAGCAATAATGGCACAGAGTTTTTAAACAACAACTTCCAAAGCTTACTGCAAGCAAAAGGTGTTTGTCACATCACTGTGAATGTGGGTGATCACAATAGACAAGGATTGATTGAACGATTCAACAGAACATTGGAGAATATCATTGCTCGTTATCAAGAATCAAGGAAATCAAATAGATACATTGATGTCTTGGAAGACATTGTATTCAACTACAACCACACTTATCACCGTGGTGTAAATGATATTCCTGAATCAAGGTATCTAAAGAATCCATTAAATGGGTCAATGAAAGTAAAAATTACCAAGCATTCAATTAAGGTTGGAGATCGTGTTCAGATACTCAAAGGTAAACAAACATTCAGAAAAGGATATGAGCCAAATTACAGCAGCGCCATTTATACTGTTGTCAGTGGGAATGGATACTCTTTCTCAATTTCAGATGATAACGGCAATGTTCTTGGAAAGTCTTACAAATATTATGAGCTTAACAGAGTTGAAGGAACGGAGACCTTTTTGATTGAACCGAGACACAGAGAGCCGACAATGACAAACAAGGAGCGTCGTAACAAGAGAGAATTACAAGAACTGGGTAGAATCCAAGGCCCAACCAATAGAAAGACAAAGACATTTGGAGCAACTTATTTTCTAAAGTAACAATAAATGACACCCATCAGCTCAATTAGAAATTACAATGATTACTTACAATCCATCAAGAATTGGGATGCTTATTCATCTCAAGAACAAGACCAATTAAGGAAATGATATCGTCAATATTATTCTCATAACAAGGAAGCTGAACGAAAACGTTACAGAGACTACTATGCCTCAAATGCAGAAGCCGAAAAGGAAATATTGAAAAAGTATAAAAAGTCTATCAAGAACTGAATATTTCATTGATTCAGATGTTTAGATTGCTGAGACTTGTTGAAATAACCATTTCGCTTCCAGTTGCTGCACCTTCGCCCACAGGTTCCTCCTCAAACGAATGGAAGCTAGATGGAGATTCGCTTGGTTCAGATTTACTTTGGTTCTCCCGATAAGGTGGTAAAGTTCCCTTCCAGAATGAAGACGACGAATAATCGGATGTTGGTAAAGCATTTGCTTCATTGCTATCCAGTCATCTCCTCCAGCGAGTGCATTCATTGCGAATTGTAGTCCAAGGCAAGCCAGAGTACACAAACACTGGATAGTCAATCAGAAACCGATAATACGCAATGTACAAATGGCACATTGTGTGATTCCATTTGAACATTTGCCGAGTGTAATCAACAAACTCCTGATTTGGAAAGCATCCTTTGAGAGCAAGCAGGTTTTGGCCAATGAATTGTCTGATTTGCAAATATCTCGGCATCGGTCCATTACACGATTCTTGTTTAGTAGTTCTGACGTGTATATGTTTATTCGTCAGGTCAAGATCTTGATTCTGGCAGTGACATCCATATAAGGACTGACTGCGTAAGGGACAGGGCTCACTGGTGTTTCCGAATTGATCGCAGACAGTACATTCTCTCCAATAGAAAGCAACAAATTGATTGTATCTGCGTGGGGATGTGGTTCATACGCACCATTTCTGTGAATATGAGAGTCCAGTTCGGGACGACGTGTGCGACTGATTGCCCTAGCAAATGCATTGAATGAATTCTTGTTGATCAAATTGAGCTCTTCTGCCAAATCAGCATCATTAAAAGCAGCAACTCTTCTGATCCAGGCTGTAATCTGCTGACATTTGTAGTAAACAATGGAAACTACAATTGTAAACTCGGAATTACAATTGTAATAATGTAAGAGCCACAAAATTACAGTTGTAATATTTCCAATCATTATAAGACCAAGACTTTTGCCATTCGACCAGGTCTTGATCAATTCACAATATTCAGTGTCAATCTCAATGAAAAATAGCATACCAGATTGTTTGCATAGATTATCGGATAAGAATATTGACCGAAAAGCAATACTACTTTACAAAGTCAGTTGGGAGATGAGTGGCATTTGGTGAGTAAATTGAATTATGTATTGGATGGGTTGGATATGAATAAAAACGATTAAGCAATATTATCAAGTAAATTCAATTTACATCAAGGATTTTATCGATTGCCTTTAATAACTAATAGAACTGCTGTTCTTAAACCCAATTGAGAGATTCCAATTTCTTTGAGCTTCTCATCAGTCAATGCCAGATCGCCAGTGGCCATCAATTGGGTGAATTTGACTTTCTGTTTTCCAAGACAGTCCTTGATAAGCTGAATTTCATCATCATCCAGTTCTTGTTGAATCTTCAACTTGTCAAAGAACTCCTCCATTGTTGTGAACTTGGTGGTCTGCTTCTTGGGAAGCTCTTCGAAACCTGCCAGGACATAATACAAATATTCTTGGCGCAGGTCTTTCATATCAGTCACAACGATTGGAGTTTCTTCGTGCAAGCGGTAGAGTTTCTTGACTTTCAGAGCCAATGGGAATTTCTTCTGCACTGCTTCAATCAATGCGGAGAGAGAAGAAATGGTAGAAACCTCCAAGTCGTATTCTTCGTCTCCACGTTTGACAGTGATGTGCTTTTCCGGGACAGCGGGAATCCATCCTTTTGCAATGCCAAAACCAGTAGTTGCATTTGCCATACTAGCGAATGTTTCCTTGACAATTTTCTTCAAAGCTTCAGTAGCAGCAGACCCACCAAAAGAGATTTCGTCAAGTTCCTTTTCCAGAAACTCTCCCGAGGACGGATCCCTTTCCAAAGTTGGTAAAGCTTCTTCAATAGTGATCGAGTTGTATCGGCTTTCTTTGGAAACAGCGCTCGCTTCGCCCCAAACAATAGCAGCATCATATTTGATTTGTAGTAGTTCTCTGAGGTATTCAAGAGAAGAGGGAAACTGCTTCGGATGTCCCTGAACTATTGCCTGAGTGATTCCGGTGTCTGTTCTTTGGATTTTGGCAAACAACCTTGCTCCAGAAAAGTATTCGACAAGCAGAGTCTTGAGTGTTAAAGAAATCAGACCTTTGTTGAAGTAATCAAACTCTAACCGATTACGAACCGTTCAACTAATTAACTTACATCGGATATAATATCCAAGCAGGGTATTATTCAACTCTAACACAATGTAACACTAGTGTGTCACATTGTATATCCCCTAATTCATAACGTCACCATCATTATTGACCCTTATGTTTCTATAACGACCCTACTTACTTTAACATTGTATTCATAGTTACCAATCATATGTAACTATATCCCATTATAACGACACAGCTAACAGCTGTAATCAATCCTATTGGCCAAGTTATCTCCGGGTACTATAGCCTATTATCAAATACTACCTGTTTGAGCCACAAGCCTCAAACAATCTTTTACTATAAGAACTAAGACACTTTCTTATTAAATAAACATCCTCTGAATCAATCATCTAAATATCATCTAAATATCATCTGACATAACTTCGTTATTATCTATTAAGTTCAACTCGTTATTCTGTTGACTTTAATTTGCGTGACTACTTCCTGATTATCATTCAAGATCTCTTCTGACCGATCTTTTCTACAGCGGCAGATTATATATTATTACCTTATACTTTACTAATAGAAAGACTCAGTCTCTTTCTCTATTTTCTATCTCTATACTTCTTGCGCGATAATCAAAATCTTTAACATTGAGCCCTGGTAAGCCTGAATTGATTGTTGCTTCCACAGACACCCTTGGAGTATTCAGTGAGAGAAAGGAGTGAGCTGTTGAAATCAGTGTATTATGGCCAGACATTTTTTGTCTGGAAGGAAAGCAATGTGGTGTCACTATAAATTTAGACTTGTGAATGAATAAAAACTGGTATCATTCGGTGCCCTATATATACTACTTACGCAGCAGGAAAAAATTGCTGCACAATTTTGAGAATTGTTGAATCTGCCCGAGTGGATAGTTGATTGGACATTGTAGCTTTGTCAGACTTGACAAATCAATACTATATCCCGTACCGAATTGCGATTTAAGAAAAATCAATGCGCCAAGTGTTTTGAGATGGCCATTCGACATGATAGCAATACGGTCACCAAGAACATCGGCCTCCTCCATAGAATGTGTAGTCAATCAAAACACGATTCTTTTTGCAGCTTCGAATCAAAGACCAGATACGTTGTTGAGCAGCAACATCCATGCCAGTAGTTGGCTCATCCAACAACACGATACGAGGAGATCCAAGTAGCGCAATAGCTACACTTAGTTTGCGTCTCATACCCCCAGAGAGAGTACTGATGTAGGCATCTAGTTTAGCATACAGTTCAACATCGCGTGCTATGGCCTCGACATATTGCATTTTTAAATTTGCAGCCTCTTTTTGACCACTAGATATAAAATCTCCAACTCGGCCATCGATCGTCACACCCTTAATACCACAATACAGTTCTAAATGCTCACGAACAGTGAGAGATTCAAAGATTACATCAAACTGTGGACATACACCAAGTTCTTGTCTAAACATTGATAATGCAAAAGGATCCGTTATATCCATCACTTTGTCGCCCGACTTGGATTTGACGTAAATGTGGCCTGATTTTGGCAACACAACACCACTTATCATGGATATTAATGTAGTTTTTCCCGCACCGTTGTGGCCCAGTAGTGCAAGAATCTGACTACTGTGTAAATTCAAATTAAAGTCTTGCACAGCACGCTTAATTTTGGTTTCCGTTGCTGCACCACAAAAAAATCTGCCAAAGATCCCCTTGCTAGAATCAGAAGATGCATCCTTTGGTTTTTCTTTGACTTTAAATTCCTTCAGTATATTGTTAATGGATAGCACATTGCGGTCGGAATCTGAAATATGATCATCGTTAAAGTTTTCAATAAAGCCATCCTCTTGTAATGCGTGTCTGGGTACTTGGAGTGAGGGAATACTTTTATAAGTAGAGAACCAAAAACTGGAGATAAAGGGGAAACTCCATGGTTGTGAAGTGGCAATATTCTCTCCAGGAAAAATCTTGTTTAAATACCATGCAAGACTCAAACAACACACATCTGTAATCCTTACCACCCATTCCATGGAAAAAGCGAAAGCACTTGGCGATCGTATTGGCATTGTTGTCAATGGCCGTATGCAATGTATTGGTACTCCGCAGAGGCTCAAATCTGTTTACGGATACGGATACAAGGTTTTGATAAGAACAAGTGAATCCGTGGATGTGGTGAATGATTGGTTTTTACAAAATATTGGCAAACCTGGCACATGGCAAGTAGCTCGACAAGTAGGTGGAACGACTGTATTGCAAATGACAAAGCTTGGCGTTGAAGCTTTACAAACACAGCTATTGGCCGCGTCGACTGACAAGGAGAAGATGATTATAGGACTAGAGTTACTAGAGCATATTTTCCGTGTTTTGGAATTGCCGGAAACCTGTGGTGATAGTGGTCAACTAGCCCGACGACTTGGTATTGTAAGTCATGAAGTACAGGAGACGAGTATGACCGAGGTATTTGTTGCATTTGCATCACTTCAAAAGGGACTTGAGCTTTAACAGCACCATGAACAATTTCACATTTTCACAACTTAATAAATTCTAATGCGTTGATGATACATTCATTTACATTTGCTTGATGAGCACTGATGTGTTTTGATTAACCGTTTAGGTTTTAAACAATGGCGTTGTGAGATGCAAAGCTTCATAATGTCAATGTTTAAAGCCTGCTGAGAATTACCTGAACATAATAAAAGGTGGTTTTGTACGGTGTGCAATTACAAACATTGGGGAAGAATTAAGAATGACAATGGTAGTATAGATGGGGCACCGAATGATACCAGGTATTTTAGTAGATAGCTCCTAGTAAAATCTATCGAGTGTTGTTAAAATGAATATTTGCCTGTGGCATTCACGTTGGTTAAAATCATTAGAGCAGGTGTATGAGCTAATATTAATGGTAGATAGTTGGTGCCATACTTATACTAAACACTTGTTTCATAAGATTCGAATGATACCAGTGTCCAAATTTTCAAAAATGACAATTTATCCGAGATTAGTAATTCAGGCCAAAAAGGTGGGATAGAGCAATTTAGAGCTTATAAGTTTGAGTTATTAGGAGGTTTCTGTGCCAAATTCATACTTGATGTTTTAAAATTCGTTAATATTCTAAAGTTGATTTAACATAAAAGGAAATTGTAATGGAGATATTATGAAATCGTATTTATTGAAATTTTGTTTACGGGACCGCAGAATCCATTGAATAATAATCATCCCACTTCTTCATGGTTTCCTTCTCTTTCCATTCCAGACATTTCCGGAATATAGTAGGGTTAGTCACATGAACTGAAGTATTCATTATGAGTGGGTTATCTGTTTTTGTCGAGCCTTCAATCAAGCGATAAAATATCATATCAGCCGATTCTTGATTCAATGCTACTACCGCAAGTACGACTTTATATCTGTCTTCTACAATAACCGAATCAGAAATGGAGACGATTTTCAAATAGAACAGCGGAATCTCGGTGCTCAAGTTGATAAACCAACCGTGAAGGTCCATTGACATTGCTAGCCTATTGTTTGGGTCTTTGTCGTATTTTTCATAAGAGGGGTAGTTTCTACAATGAGAGTCAGATATCAAGTGACAGCTTTCTGCTTTCCCCATCGAACCAAAAATTGACAATTTTTCGATTCTTTGGTATTTGAACTCGTCGCTTGTTTTTTCAAAGGTTGAAAACTGAATGGTTATTACAGACTGAGTGTCTTGTGGCAATTCAGAATCAGTAGGGATGTAATCCTTATAATAGATTCTTTCTCCAAGCTGAGCGGTTGAGGTTGTAGAAACACTGGAATTAATTGTCAGGCTGTTCATAGGAGAGTTGATGGTAATCGATTCATTTCGTAAGTGACTATCGAAGCGAAGGGCGTTTTCTTTTGTTTCGAATAATACATTGATTTTGAGAGTGGGTTTGTTTTCCTCATAAAAGAAAGCTGGTTGCCCTGATTCGTAGTAACCAAGATAGTTATCAGCATTTCGATACATACGAGAACAAACACCTTTTACGGCTAAGGAATCCGAGAGAGCGCCAGAAACTTTCCAATACGTTGGTATACCTTTTCTGACAAAGTCATTGATTCCTACGGTAGGACCATGAACAATACCTGACTTGATGACAAGTGGTTGGTCGTAGAAACCAACTGGATGCTGAATGGAGGTCAACAGAGTATTCCCGGGAATGGCTGGACCATCCACCACAAAATGGATGGTGAGGTCTCCAACAAAAGCAGAAGCAAGAGGAGAGTTGGGAAGTGCTTGGAAAGCAGCAATCAGTTTTGATACACTGTCAAGTGGTCTTTTTCTTTCTAGTTCTCCATTGAAGTGGGTTTCGATTTCCACTGGCTGATAGTCCAGATATTTGATGTAAAACCTTTCATTTTCCATTGTAGTTTACTGAAGAGAAATGAAAGAATTGAATGGAATGAAATAGAATAAGAATGGAATGAAGAAAAGAATAGAAAAGAAAAGAAAAAATTGGACTTTAAATCCAAAACTCGATATCATATGAATAATGTGAAACAAATTCACACTTTGAATAGTGTTTAAACATTTGTCATGTGATTATTTGTATTGTTCAATCGAGTGTCAATTCAACTCAGCAATTGATTACATCATTCATATAATGACTCGAGTCTTTTATTCAACATTTTAATATTCAATTATTGTTAATCAGTCAATTGTTGGATTAGTAAATGTGTTACAAAACATTCATTTACATACTGAATCTGACAAGTGGATAATGATTGTTCCAATCAACAATTGGATTGAATTGACTGCAATATTGTCATTGATTGCAGTCACTGTTGACCAATACATTGTAATACATTGACAGTCTCGACATCAACATTGTCATTCATGTCAAGTTGTGTGTAGTTGCTAATATTACACCACAACAATACTATCAACTTTCAAGTCCTGTGATACACCGTTTCAACCATAACCGGATCGATGTTGATCACTTGTCAATACACGGGTCAGTTGTATAATCGTACAACTGTTGGTTAACCAATGTTTGACTGTCGATATTTGAATCATGAATATTGTCCAACATAATCGTCACTAACACTGTCGTTGTCGTTTGATTGCCTTGTTCTATGAATAATCATTGTAATGTCATTTGTTCAGTTGTTGTTGGTTTATTGAAACCATGTCACAATTCTTGATATATTGCACATGATCTTGTAATTGTTGGTGTTGTCTGTAGTGATTCTGTCAATGTATACGAATGTCACTTGTTGCTAATTGGTAGTTGTTTATGACTAATACACAACCGATCAGGTTTGGTGACCATTTTATGCACATATATATTTGACATTATATCGGACTGTTATGTTGTTTGATCCAATAGTAGTATATGTCAGTCATACTATAATACTACAGGTTTGTTGCAATATTCATACAACCTATATCCAAAACTGCACAAACACTGTCATTCAAGATTGACGAGTATGCAATCATAAATGAATCCAACGCATTTTTGCTGTATATAATTGTATCAAATGTCGTGTTTGTTGGCTTGACTGTTGACTTGACTAGATCTGATATTACACGGGCTATTCAACAATTGTATTGAATTCCGGTTAGTATCGAGTCATTTGAGTCGTTCAAGTAGTCAAGTTGCTTGGTTTGCAATGTGTTGTGTCCAAGAATCACTTGCAATCAAACCATTACCAAACCACAGGTTAACAACACCAAATGATATATGACTGGTTATATTAACACATTGCAAACACTCGACGAACTAGCCATGAATCAGGTTCAATCATCAACCGCCAATATTGTCAAAGTGTGTATTCCTGGTTTAGTTGATGATGATCCGAGTATGCGGTATTCGTCACAGTTTGATTTGGTCCAAACAGGTTTTGTAATGGTTTCAACAATGTCTGATGAATGACATGCTACAATCGCAGTATATTGATATTACCGCATGATACAACTGTTTGGTTGACCAAACGACTCGAATGTTGATGGATTATTATGCCAATCGACTGTTTTGACCTAATATCACCACACTTGACATGCCAACACATGCGACATATGATGGAGTGTGTAATTGCAGTTTGATTGATTCAATGTTGTGTTACAACATGTGTTACAACATCAGTCACCATGTGGGTTATAGTTTGTATATCCAACAACACATTAGAGTGATTGATTGTCGTTCCGATTGATCAAATGTCAATATGTTTGTACAACAGTTTGGTACAACCGACTGTCTGGATTATTATCACACGAGTCAATGCTGACCTGATTTGCGATATTCAGTGTTGTTGGAATATCAACACAACATCAACATCAAACATCAGATCGACACTGCACGTTGATGTTGATGAATGCAACATGAATATTGAAACAATGCATCATAATGCGTACAAGTCGCAGATTGCAGTTCAGACTCAATGCAAAGTGCACATTGTTACAGTTTGGTCATGAACAAAGCGATACGCACAATGTGCAGTTCATGTCTACGACTCGACTGATTGGTAGACAACGACCATTTGCATTGTTGAACAGTAAACTGAACAGTAAATGACCATCAAACGCATGGCTTGGTATCGACATTCAAGCAATCACCATGATTGTAATATTTGCAAGTTGTCCACAAGTTGTTTACAAACGACCATCAATTGACAATGACATGCATGTGCATGTGCATAGTTGACTATACAATACACTACATGAACCAATATTGCTGACTGAATACAGGTCACAACTGCGAGTATCCATGTGATAATGGACTGACATTGGTGTTGATATCGAATTGATTGACTAATCGATCATCATCAATTGCATCAGTGACTGGTATATTCAACTGATATACACCATGTCCGAGTTTGATACATGTCGATATATGCGTGTCAATCAGCAATGCATATTTGTGGCCATTACAGTCGAATGTGAGTCGAGTCGATCATTAAACCAACGAATCAATGATTGCATTATAATTGACCAATATCGAACCGGCTGATGACTCAATCTGCATCCGACTTTGAACAACTGTATTGCTCCGTTTGTTGTACAATGTACGACATGGTCAGTTGATGGTATCATGCAACCATGCAACTGACAAGTGATTGCAAGTCCAACTGGTAGTACAATCAACACTGGTTGTTATCAGGTTATTGATGTATATGGAACAAACCGTGTCAATGTATCAATCAACAATCCAGTAACTGTTGATGTAATACCCAACACAGTATACACAATCAATGATATGATTGTTGACCCATTCACAATACTCGATAAATACCAACATATCAGAAAATTTAAATTTATTCAAAATCAAAATCATCGACACATCATCAATCTGAATCTGAATCTGATTCCGGTTCTTCAAATTTCAAACCATGCTTTTTCGTAAACACTTCCAATTCTTGTCTGATAGTGAATACTTTTCCTTCTGCTTTTTCACAATCTTCTTTGAGTCGCTTTTCAATGCCTGGGTTGTGCTTTGACCCAGATATTTCTTCTCCCATTGCTAACGCTAACTGTTTTTTGGATCCAGAGGCTTTATATTTATGATAGAGTTTGCATATCTTCCTTTCCACTTTTTTAGAAGCTACAAGTCTTTTCTTTATACCATAAAGAATTACTTGATCTCTTTGGATTAATCCAGTCATTTGATTTGAAGCAGTACTGCCTGGCTTTTCTTCGTCTATTGGTTGTTGCTGATCTTGGCTGGAAGTACTTGAACTGGCTACATCAATTGATTGTTCCCGACCTCGTTTGGAAGCACTTGAACCAGACTCATTGGTTGGACGTTTGTGACCTCGTTTGGGAGTACTTGGACCAGGCTCGTTGGTTGGGCTAGACACTTGACTAGAAGTGCTTGATGCCTGGACTGAACCATTGCCGTTATCTGAAACCAGTACTGCATTAGCGGTTGCTGCTGCGGTTAGTACGAATATAATATCAATGAACTTCATTAGATTGCTGGATGGGTTTAAAAGATTGTTAGATGGGCAGATTGTTGATTATAAAACTGAGCGTAATCAATTGTATTTATACTTTTGTATAGCAAACCAACCCTTTAAGGTTAACCAACGACACAGGGTTACTTGATTGCTTGTAATGAGCCAATATCAAACTAGGCAGTATGTTACTCCCTAGCCACAATATCAATTTGATGATCATGTTGATTGAATTATGCTTTTACGACCCTTTGATCAGGTATTTTGAAAAGCACACCCTTCATGAGTGTTGTGTAACCGCAAACGCTTTGTTTTACAACCGTATTCGTGTCAAATGGATCACTCCAGTATTCATTGTGCAATGACTGTATTCTGCATTGCAATATACAATGGCTACTACACATTGACTGCATTGCGTGTTCGATATACAACGACCATCATATGACACACAATCACACTATAATGTTGAATCTACACTTTGTGCACTCTTAGTAATCATACATTGTACGATCAACAAATTTGAACCCACATTCATGTATTGTGTTTGACTGTCAATATTGTCAATACAACTCTGTACACACATTTATTGTATTCTGAATCACAGATACGATTGCAATCTAGTTCAACAACAATGATGACACATGTCAGTAATGCAACTGTTTATCACACACCAACACTGTTATTTAGGGGTCTATTTACATCAATATGGCTGCAAGTTGTCGTTATATCACGTATTATGGACATGGTTTTGATATTACGCATCCAGTTCCATCACATTGTTACTGGCACATTATTGTAACGATGTATACATCAAACACTGGCATGTCCTCATAACCATAACCAGTAAAATGACACTCGAGTTGTTTACTGTGATCAGTATATGCAACCCAGTGCAACTACACATACTAGATCCAGTCTGTTGGTTGTTCCAGTTGACCTTGATTCACTTTTGACGTTTTGTCCGAGATTGACAATACAAATGTGTCAAGCTGAACCCAAACTACGCGACTCGACTGTTTGTGTCAATTGGATCGTGACTGAACTATGTGATCATGATGTGTATTCAATTCATACCATGCATTACTAATGCAATAGTATGTGATCATCGTGTATCAAACAACTACAATACACACTGGACCAATCCAATACATGCACGGCTTGGACATATCACACAATCAAACATGAACACACCACATTAAAAATACATATAGTATCAGTTTGTCACTAATGAATTGTATTCAGTCGAGTTTATTGAGAGTCGTTGTGTGACTATTTGATCAGCTGTAGTTAATTGTTAACACCAAGAGTCCCGATGTACATCATATCAACTATAAAATAATCATGGCCACCATCCATTCAACAAATAACCAATTTTATTACTATATCTGCTTAGTCCTCAAATTTCCTGTAATTAAACTTTAGCCGCCTACTACCACGACGAAGAGTACCACGAAGAGTACTACCAAGTCGCGACAATGATCTCCCGGGAGTAGATGTGACATCTGAACCTGAAGTACTTGGTTGTTCAGGCAATCTAACAGTATGTATCAAATTCATGATCAGTATCAGTATATCAATCCACACACCCACACATCAATATCAAACAACTTACTGTGATAATGGCCAGAGCACCTGATCATTGTTTGAAATAATAGGATATCCGTCAGTCGAGACTTCACATCCACATCCAGGACCAAATCCAATGCGTACATTTTGTCGATCAAATGTCAATCCAAGTCGGGTCATAAATGATGCACCAAGAACTACATTGTCATTTGAACCAACTTCTACAGTAAACAGGACTATAATTCGACATGTACATTAGTCAGACTAATCAAACAACACATATTGCATACAATTGTCAAATACTTACATTTTTTAGAATCATATCTCTGTATATAGTCTCGAGGACCCAGTGTGATTGTTACAACGGAATTGCTATTGTCATCAGTTACGGGGGTTTGAGCAAACATTACAATTGAAAGCGTCGGCAGCTTGCTCCAATCAATATTAAAATCGGATTGGGACATTAGATAGTTGTTTTTTAAGGTGCTTTTAACCATTATTTTGCTGAGCTTGCGCCTAAGCATATTACCTTTGGTAGTGATTGCATTATTATCAAGAATAGCATTGATCAGCACATCCACGACTGTTTTAGGAAAACGTATATATGTAAAGCATGTATGTAGATATGAATACAGAGTACGTCCATTTTCCACAACTTGCTGGAATTCCTCGGGTAGATCCACTTGTTTGCCATTGACTAGTATACTTTTGATGTTGACAGTAAAGTAACCGTCTGGTGGTGATTCTACCCATGCGACACTGCTTCCATCCGTTCCGCATTTTGCAGCTACGTCCGTATTTCCTATATTGATGAAACTTTCTTGCAGCATTCCATACGGACATATTTGAAGACCAATCTCGTTTCTAGGAATGACATCATGATTGTACAAAACATCCATTGCAGTGGCTGGTGGATGATGTTTTGACAACGAGGGATAGGCAAACCCAAATACTCCTTGATCGATTCTTCCACCAATACCAACTAGATCTGGCGATTGTTTTTGAACTGCTAGTACTGGTAAATTGATGTCAGTTATACTAGTACCCGGAATCGTCACATCGGCGTAGGAACTAAACCCATTATACTCTTCGTTTTTGTACTTTATAGTAAAGGGCTGTCCATTTGGAGTGTGTTGCGGAGTCAAACCTACATCGTTGCTTGAACTAGGAAGTGGTACGACTATATCGGAAACTGATGAATCGACTCGTAAATTCAACTATTTTAAACAACATAAGTGTGAGATTGATTAAGCGTGGTGTAAACTGATATCAAACTACAATGCATAGCATGACATGATACATACACCGACCCCATGAACATTGACTTTCATTGTGAAACATTTGTTAGCATCACCATCCAATTCAACGGGTGATCGTTTTGATAGCCTATTGTTTGATTGACTGTCAATTCCAATTGGTGATTCTAATGCAAGTCGAACTGCAGCAACCGCCTGCAACGCAAGTATAACGCATTCTAGAGTAATCAACATTGTATGAGTAGTGTAATGGAAATGGGTTGAATCTGATACATGACTGCCGTTTTATAACGACGGTAGCTTCAAGGGCGACAATCAACACTTTCAAATGGATATTTAGAAAACACCAAATGCATCATGTAGGGTGAGCAAGCTCAGAAACACCCTGTAGGGTGAATCAATATACAAGCATCCCTGTTAATATGAAAAATCAACTTTAGTAGTATGCTGCATTAGCATTTCCAGCTGCGGTCATGTATCCAGTGATCAGATAGTGTCAGACCATTACCATGATTATGGATAAATATCATCACATATACAATCCATTACTACAACATATACTGTCACTGTATACCAAATACTTGACTGACTTTTTCATTGGTATGACTGCATGGTCATTTTAGGTTAATGTAGACTGTACACATCAAACATTTCTGATTGTGTCACAACATGATCAACATCAAACTCGGTAAACTGTCATCGCTACATCGAATGAGCGACGTTGTACTATAATTGAATTGGAGATTGGCAGGTCGTTCAACAAACTGGCCGTGTCAACAGGTCAGATTGTCATCGTGTACATGAACCACAATGGATGATCATGTCATTCAAATCAGCACACAATCTACTGATATATGCAAAACAACAACACCAATACAATCCAGATCAAACCCAATCACAAACGTGGTGTTGAATCCAGTGCATGCGAGTACTTTTTAAACACATGATACACACTGATGGTGATGGTTGCTGACAGTCACATTGCAATGTACATGTCCAATAGTGTCCACTGTCATGTCGATTGTTGCTATCCGTGACATTCAACTAGATTACAATCAATGTCTAACAAATACAACACAGTAAACTAGCCACGAGTATCCAAGAGTATGTCAATTGATGTGATCCAACAAAACAGCATAGTATTGACTGTTTTGTTAAAGTGCATTCAATCAAGACACTCCAGCATCTCGAGTAGAAATATCAGATTTGTTCACCTTTGCACTGAATCCACAACAAATCGCACAGATTACAAGCAAAGTTTGAACAAATCGAAATAGCTCAAATTTACAGCTAAAACCAAAATGGTATACAATCGCATTGATGTAGAGTTGAACACTATATTGCAGTGATTGACTGTTGATTTGGAATAAACAATGCTGAATATTGGTTGTAGTTTTGTACTTGACATTGACTGTTGACTCAATATACATTATGAATTATTATAAACAGTGTCGATGATATGATGCTCACAAACTATGATTTTGAACTGGAATAGTCTTGAATCAGCGTTTGTCGTTTCTGTTGTATTCTGAATCACGGATACGATCACAATATAGTTCAACAACAATGATGACACATGTCAATAATGCAACTGTTTATCACACACCAACACTGTTATTTAGTGGTCCATTTACATCAATATGGCTGCAAGTTGTTGTTATATCACATATTCTGGACATGGTTTTGATATTACGCATCCAGTTCCATCATATTGTTTTTGACCCATTATTGTAATGCTGTATGTCACCATAATCATGGACATGAACATGAGCATGTGGTTTCACGTATAATATTACAACCACGCATGTCGTTGGTTGAATCATCACTACTAGTGTATACTACACTACATGTATGTATGTTGACATGTGTTGTACCAAGTTGGTTGCATTGCTACAATATGGCATGCTCCAACCTGTTTGGATTACAGTTGTGCAACATATTGATATTGTACACATGTGATACTGGCCACCAACAAAGTGATCAGCGGTATTCGATCGTATCATTCAATTGATCATCCAATCACATAATCAATACACGTCAACATACTCCACTGCATGTACTGGATCATGACAACAACCTATCCAATACATGTCAACTGATACAATTACCAACCATTGCATGATTTCAGTTGCCAATCAAGTCGATACTATGATATTGTTCAATGTCAAGTATACAACCAAATCGACAAGACACAGTCCAGACTGATCCAATATTGTATCATTGTACAAGTCGACTGTTTAATCGATGTGATACTTTAACTGATCATCACTGTATACCATACTTGCAAACATTGTAAATTCTAAACTACACAATCAATATTGGTCATGACATGATCAACAAGCAATGATGCTTGTAAATATGTTGACCATACAATACATGAATGACCGACATTCCATCGTCATACTTGGTCTGTGTTTGACAGCCTGATTTACCAGTTGCTTGTACAACATTACACAATCAATCAACTACAGTCGAATGCACAGTCAAGCAGTAGCTAATCAAGATTACACACCATACAAAGGGAGCATCCCTTTTGGGCTAGTCTGACATTGATAGTAATAAACCAATACTAACCCTGACAACAACACTAGTTCCTTAGGAAGGTCATTCAAGGAACATGCTTTTAATACTATTCATCCAATAACAGATACAAGTGCAATTCAAAAACTGACCTATTGAATGACAGCCATATACAACTTGCTTATAATCAAACCAGTAGAATGAAACTCTTGGCTGCTGTATTGGTATCGATCCTGCTTGCTTTCTCAGTTGCTACAGCCAACACTGTTCTTCCTAGCGTAACTACAAGTACTTATTTTAGCTCTTGTACAGTCCTTTCCAGTACGACTACAAGCACTGATCCTAGCTCTTCAACAGCTCTTTCCGTGTCAATTGTAAATATTGAATTTAGCTCTGGGAGAACTTTCAATGCAGACTTGATTAACCAAAGTATATTTTCAGTCGAGGTTAAAAATATGGTCAACGACTACTTGCAAAAAAAACATGATTATGGAGAAGCAATCAAAATACGCAACTCGGCAAGAGATACGGTTGTTGTTCAAAAACAAACGATAGCTGAACTAAATGAAAGATATCAGCAGCTTAAACGCAAATCTCAGAAAAGCAAGAATGCTTTAAAGCACAAGAGTAGACTTGATAGGCTTAAGCTTGAACTTGAAAACCAATCTTCCAGAGTTTTTAGACTTCAAAAGCACATGCACGCACTCGAGTATGAACATGATCAGGCATCGCTCAAACTAGAACAACAAGGAAGAAGACTTGCAGATATATTTCTCGGAGAATTTCCAGATGCCTCGCGGATTTCTTTGCGTGTAGACTTGGAACCAAAGCCCGTCTTTATAACACTAGCCGACAATCTACCCAACAACCTACCCAATAGCATACCAAACCGATCGTCAAGATCTATACGCAATTTCTTCAGTAAGATCCAGACTCGACTACAGAAAACTAATCAAAATACTGATTTACCTCCATCATATAAACGTGTAATGAGGAAACCTGAACGTTATAAAGTGACCCAACAAGGCCCTGTGACTTTACCTCCATCATATGAACAGGTAATTATGCATCCTGAAAATTTTGACAAGGTCTTGAAAGATCCTGGCATTCAATACCCACCATTAGAGGAAATGCCTATAGTTCAACCCATTCAATCAACCTCCAGAACCTCATCCAGTCTACAAAGAACTGCCTCCAGTTTACAAAGAGGAACCTCCAGGCTTGTGCATAATGTTGGATCATTCTTTCAGCAACCCAGAAATGATGATTCGCCCGTTTGATTTGAATGTCAATCTGGACTTGTTTCAGCCGATTCAATTGTCATTATGGTTTAATTTACAATAAAATTGGATTTGCATGCATTATATCTGATCATTTCACAGTCTTGGTTGACATGATACCATATTGTACATTGACACTTGTATTTCCAATACGATACAATACAGTTGATTGTATATTGCATAGTTGTACACATTGATGATGCTGAAATGCATGTATGTATTGTGTCGATATGATATTGCTTGTCATGTTGTATTGACACATGCAACACCAATATCAGCAATAGTCATGTGTGTTGATATCAGATCCGACCAATTTGACTGGTTTGACTGGTTTGACTCGTTGATTGTGGTGTCAATAGTTGCATCAATAGCCTGACTGATCACACATATCAGTCGCAGTATCAACTCTGTCGTGTGTCAAGTATCACATGTTGATGTATCCAATGATCGTATACTGGTCGATTGGTGCGATATGATCAGGCATGCTAATGGAATGTGATAATCATGGTATTTGTAGCAGTATACCATATTGCACAGTTGATATTGCGTATCCAATATCGACATGATCATTCAGATATACAGTGATGGATTCCAACAATACACACCATGATTGATACATTTACAACAACCGAATAAAAACCATCAATATGTCCCTAATATGGTATGTTGGTGTTGAATATGCTGATTCTAGTCGTGCAGTAATTACCAGTACCAAATACAAATCCACATCTACTAATATAAATTGTGAGAATGAATGATTTATTAAACATGTACTGTTTAGCAAGTGACTTTCAACAATTTTTTCAATCAATCGTAGTGTAATGGCTGCATCTATTTGATCCATCAGTAGCTTGTTGACACTATATCTATCTCTCCAATCAAGCCTTCTGCCCTGAAATTCATTTCATCGTGAAATTTGAACCAGATACCAAGTATAGGCTTGAGTTTAATCGAATGAAGCCAGTCGACAAGTAGATACTGATTAACCTCTTGTTCAAAGACATCCAGTATATTTTTAACGATTTTTTGGTGTTTGACCATCACTTCCTTGGTCGCTTTAAGCGATTTAAACTTTGATGAACCATTTTGGAGTGCTCTGGCTGTATGCTGTATGCCCTCTTCCTCACTTTCAAGAGCTCTAGCAAGGCTTTGAGCAAACGACTTGAATGCATCGATCAGTTTTAATGTTGGAATAGTGGTGGTTCGAACATCCAGTTGATTCAAAAGCTGTAGTACTTGTTGACTCCACAAAGTATATCTGCGCGAAAACGACTCGGCCGATGCATGATATCCATCAAGTCTGTTCAAAATAGACTTTGGTGCATTACTAGCATTCGGTGTCGCTACTTTAGGTTCGTGTTTCGGCCATAACCAGAACCTGCCAATCAGTCCAGATTGAACGGGTGTATCAGGATACTCATATTGTCCATCAGGACTTGGACGTCCTGGTGGTTCAGGGATGACGCTTAGCAACACGTCAACAAGTGCGTCTCTTCCCCAATAGTCTACTTTATCATGAGCCTGATCACCATCGATAACATAATACGCTTGTCTATAATTGGGATCGTATATCACGTCGTCAATGATAAGTTTGCCAATGTGTTTCATTCCTAATCCTGCCATATTCACCAATTTGGTAATAAACTCCTGCCTATTGCGGTTGTTGTCCTGGCTGGAAACACTGACTATTATGTTTGGGACATGTGGACGGCTTGACTGTTGTTTGGGCGGAGCGGCATATGCACTGCTGGACAATACAAAACTCACAGCAGCAATACAAAAGTTTAGGTATTTCATTTGATCCGGATAGAGCTAGCAAGTATGGCTGTTGACAAAGTTGGGCTTTTATAGTTGATAACCGTTGGGGCTGGTAGCACAATATCAAAAATGCGGAAACCTGTACAAATATACTACGCTACGTCACCATAATGCGGCTGCATACTTTGTACATGTATATTTGCTCACCCTTATTGACACCCTATTTCCTGTAAACGCGAATCCATATCAACATTTTCCAATTAACCGTTTTTGCCTCTGTAGTTTCTGGCTGTCATTTATGTACTATACCATGTAGCCAATGTCCAGACTGATAAAAAGCATAACACGGATTGTTTCAAAGCCAAATATTGGCTGGATCATCAGGGTTGTTCAAGGGACGGCGTCCTGGAATATATAAATAGTCAATATGCATGTTAGGCTAGACAAATAGCAAATATAGAGTTAGGGCTAGTGCTAAATATTAGCTAGGGCGATCCACATTTAGGGTTGAAATTTGTTTAGCTTTGGATATTTGTCAACTTCATTAAGCAGTTGAGCCATTATTCGAGTAGATATCAATATTTCATAGTCGGCCAGTTGTATCCAGTGACCCAGTTGATCGACACTGTTGATTCCATATCAACCATTTTGTATATCTGTATATCTGTATATTTGTATATTGTTATATCACTCAGTTCATAGACTGCCAGTTTCACTGATACTAGATTGTACTAAACACTACAATATTGTGTTGCAACACTCGACAGTACCAATTAAATGGGTATTGTTATAACAATGAGTTGCTGGCCCTTACAGTCATTGATAGATTGCAATACAAATAATGTTGGAACGTCAAGGTTTTTTAATGAATATTATCCCAGCGAGTGGCGAGACACTAAATGATTTCATAAAGTAAATCGTATCTGTACAAACATGGGCTAGTGCTGTCACAAGTTTGTCAGCCAATTGTTGTATGATGGTCTCGGTGACAGCGGCATAATCGTGTCTGGTACTACCAGTACGCTACCAGTAGTTACATCGAGTGATCGTTCAAATAGGTCGATTCAAATGGGTTGGATATAACCGACTAATCCAGCATCCATCCATTGTCAAACAACCATAATGCACAATACCACCAAGTGTGCAATTACACTCGCACTGATCAGTCGTTGCACAGTATGTATTAATCAATGTCAAACATATGTGTCTGCAACTAAATTGCAGTCCATGACACATCCACACGATTCAATGTTAAAGATTTTGATTATCGCGCAAGAAGTATAGAGATAAAAAATAGAGAAAGAGACTGAGTCTTTCTATTAGTAAAGTATAAGGTAATAATATATAATCTGCCGCTGTAGAAAAGATCGGTCAGAAGAGATCTTGAATGATAATCAGGAAGTAGTCACGCAAATTAAAGTCAACAGAATAACGAGTTGAACTTAATAGATAATAACGAAGTTATGTCAGATGATATTTAGATGATTGATTCAGAGGATATTCAGAGGATATTTATTTAATAAGAAAGTGTCTTAGTTCTTATAGTAAAAGATTGTTTGAGGCTTGTGGCTCAAACAGGTAGTATTTGATAATAGGCTATAGTACCCGGAGATAACTTGGCCAATAGGATTGATTACAGCTGTTAGCTGTGTCGTTATAATGGGATATAGTTACATATGATTGGTAACTATGAATACAATGTTAAAGTAAGTAGGGTCGTTATAGAAACATAAGGGTCAATAATGATGGTGACGTTATGAATTAGGGGATATACAATGTGACACACTAGTGTTACATTGTGTTAGAGTTGAATAATACCCTGCTTGGATATTATATCCGATGTAAGTTAATTAGTTGAACGGTTCGTAATCGGTTAGAGTTTGATTACTTCAACAAAGGTCTGATTTCTTTAACATTCAACATGTCAAATCATGTATTGTGAGTCCAAGATTGATCAAAAGCATGATCATGGTAAACAACATGTTGCATATTGGAGTCGAACAATACACCACTATTGATATCGTATTTTCATTTTTAGCATATAGTACTAGTGTTGCATATATTGATTAATTGACAGTGTATTCCATAAATTTTATTCCAGTTATTAATATGATACAGACTCAGATGTTGGCTCATACCCATAGATATTACTTAGATAGTGCAAGACTTGCAATAACTGTACGAGGAAATCACCAATGACTAGAATAGCAAGAAACCAGACGCATCCATCAAGTGTTTATTCAAAAGCGATCTATCTGGAACCGAGATGGACCTACTGTTATACGACTGGGTGGTGCTTGAAGGATAGTCGCAGATTTTGACTGGACGGGAGTTGGAGTAACCTCGGCTGTCTTGGTTGCCTTGGGCGTCTTGGTGACCATTTTAATTTTAAAAAACTTTGGACCTTGTGATTTAGTGTTTTCATCAGAAGGTTTGCTTGGAGATTTAGGCGCATCATTCTGTGAAGTATGACTTTCCTTGGTATCTTCGGTATCTGTTTTCTGCTTTCTGAGCTTTAATTTCAGATTTTCAAACCAGCCATTACTCTTTAGCTCGGGACTTTGTTTAAGCTCCTCTTTAGGCTCCTCCTTAGGTTTATGCTTATCTTGAGCGTCATCAGGGTTAGGGTTAGGCATATTGAGTTTCAATGTCCACTTTGATGGTCGCTTAGTTGATTTTGGACTTTGTGATTTAGTGTTTTCATCAGAAGGCTTGCTTGAAGATTCAGGCGTATCATTCTGTGGAGTATGACTTTCCTTGGTATCTTCGGTATCTGCTTTCTGCTTTTTGAGCTTTAATTTCAGATTTTCAAACCAGCCACTACTCTTTGACTCAGACTCCTTTTGATCCTCCTTTTCTTGGCGCTGCTTTTCAAGTTCTTCGAGTTCCTGTTGACGTTCTTTGTCAAGTCTTTCTTGGAATTTCTGAGCACGTTGTCTTTTAAGGTCTTCCTCAAAGTCCTGTTGGCGCTTCCTTTCAAGTTCTTCGAGTTCCTGTTGGCGCTGTTTTTGAAGTTTTTCGAGTTCCTGTTGGCGCTGTTTTTCAAGTTTTTCGAGTTCCTGTTGGCGCTGTTTTTCAAGTTTTTCGAGTTCCTGTTGGCGCTGTTTTTCAAGTTTTTCGAGTTCCTGTTGGCGCTGTTTTTCAAGTTCTTCGAGTTCCTGTTGACGTCGTTTTTCGTCTTGGAGTCGTTTTTCCTCCTGACGTCGTTTTTCGTCCTGACGTCGTTTTTCGTCTTGGAGTCGTTTTTCTTCCTGACGTTGTTTTTCAAGTTCTTCGAGTTCCTGTTGGCGCTGTTTTTCAAGTTCTTTAAGCTCCCGTTGACGCTGTTTTTGAAGTTCTTCGAGTTCCTGTTGACGTCGTTTTTCATCTTGGAGTCGTCTTTCGTCCTGACGTTGTTTTTCCTCCTGGAGTCGTTTTTCTAGTCTTTCGAGTTCCTCCTGACGTCGTTTTTCGTCTTGGAGTCGTCTTTCTTCCTGACGTCGTTTTTCTTCCTGGCGTCGTTTTTCCTCCTGGAGTCGCCTTTCCTCCTGACGTTGCTTTTCCTCCTGGCGTTTTTGTTCTTGTTCGAGTTCCTCATCACGCTGTTGTTTGGCATCCTCAATCGTTTCTCCGTCTTCCGGAATTTTAAAAGTATCATCCCCAAGACTTTCGTCAGGTGGATCATCTTCGTCAAACTCCCTAAGATCTAGGCCCCCAAAGTTTGTTTTTTTATGTTTCCGAAGTGGATACTTGCATTTTTTTGATTTCATGCATGGTTTCAATCCTCGCTCATGCTGTACTAGAACTCGTGCTGGACTTGGGCCAGTGGGCTCGAACATTAATTTGAGCATCTCCCACGTTGATCCCAGTAGTAGTTCAGGTAGCAATGGCCTATAATCATCAGGTATCTCATCTCCTTTCCAAACTACCATCAAGAGATCTTCCATCAATTCTGGATCTATAGTAAACGGATATCCAAATCCAAGTGTGGCTGGAACAGGGAGACCAACCTCTCTCATACGACTTTCGATTTCCATCAGCTGTTGTACTAGTGTCATAGTTCCCCATCCTGGAATTTTCATATAGCTCCCTAAATATTCAACACCAGCACCAGAATTACTACCCATATAGGTTGATCCTGACTGGCCACTTGAAGAGGGTCTGTGTTGAACGCTAGGTGTAGTTTTGACTTTAGAGCCATCATGATTTAAGCCAAATTGCTGTTGATGAGGTGGTTGATAAGGTTGTCGATGGGAATAAAGGCCGGATTGTTGTTGAGGAGGTTGACGATGAAACCCGGATTGTTGTTGTTGAGGAGGTTGTCGAGGATGAAAACCAGATTGTTGTTGAGGAGGAGGTTGCTGACGATGAAACCCGGATTGTTGTTGTTGAGGAGGTTGTCGAGGATGAAAACCAGATTGTTGTTGAGGAGGAGGTTGTCGAGGATGAAACCCGGGCTGCTGTTGATTAGATGGTTGACGATGAAAGCCGGGCTGCTGTCGAGGATATGAACCGTATCGCTGTTGATGAGAGCCAGATTGCTGTCCAGGTTGCAGATATAAATTGGGATCGAATCGCTGTTGAGGAGGTTGCTGAGGAGGTTGTCTACCATATGATCCAGGACCAGTTGAACTTGTACCGGGATTTTGCACGCCATTTCCAGTTGGAAAATGAGATCCTCTGCCACGGGATCTTTGTTGTTGTTGTTGTTGTTGCAATTGCTTCAGATAATCGTCTAATCCTCGCTTTTCAAGCTCGACGGATTGCCCACCAATAGATGGATGAGCAATGACTGCAGTCGACAGTAGCTGTAATACAGCAATCGATACAAATTTCATGTTTACTGTTAAAAATAGTGACGCAACACTTGTTCAGCACAGCAAGTGTCAACAGTAATCCAGTGGATGGGTTGATTCTGAATGAAATACGGAAACTATCCTTATTTAAATATTATGAGTATAAAGGGATGCCTTAAGCATACAAGGGAGGCATAGCTTAACAAGCGAATATTCAATTCATTCAAACACACCACAACCAAACCCTACACACTGGATTCTTCATTCACAAAATGGCGAAATCTTGTATTTTAGGACTGAGCAGCCCTACTTGAACCTCAAAAGCGGTCATATTAAAGCTCACTAGTACATTTAGCCAGCCCTGATTTTTGGAACAGAAACCCCTGCAAAGTAGTGTAATTCATTTCATGCAACATAGCTTGCTAACCCTTGTACTATTTTCAGCAATACAACCAGTACATTGCTTCAACACTGAAACAAAAAGTATTCATGTTGGGAATATACAGTCAGACAGTAGTAAAAATTAATAATTAATAGATATAGTAATAGGGCTGATTATTTGTTAGTTGGAGGATGGCATTGATCTTTTATAGCCGATCATGTACATCGTTGCTCACATCGTCTGATGACGTGTTTCTAGTAATAAACATTTAATAGGGGTTAGCTTTCTCAATTAAGCACCTTGAGCGCCAATACTTTCAATCTTGACATTAAAACTGATCAAAGCATTCAAGTTGTTTGCTCAAAACCTTGCTAGTGCTTTTGAGAGTGAGGAAAACCGTTGGAATAGTGGTGGTTCGAACATCCAGTTGATTCAAAAGCTGTAGTACTTGTTGACTCCACAAAGTATATCTGCGCGAAAACGACTCGGCCGATGCATGATATCCATCAAGTCTGTTCAAAATAGACTTTGGTGCATTGCTAGCATTCGGTGTCGCTACTTTAGGTTCGTGTTTCGGCCATAACCAGAACCTGCCAATCAGTCCAGATTGAACGGGTGTATCAGGATACTCATATTGTCCATCAGGACTTGGACGTCCTGGTGGTTCAGGGATGACGCTTAGCAACACGTCAACAAGTGCGTCTCTTCCCCAATAGTCTACTTTATCATGAGCCTGATCACCATCGATAACATAATACGCTTGTCTATAATTGGGATCGTATATCACGTCGTCAATGATAAGTTTGCCAATGTGTTTCATTCCTAATCCTGCCATATTCACCAATTTGGTAATAAACTCCTGCCTATTGCGGTTGTTGTCCTGGCTGGAAACACTGACTATTATGTTTGGGACATGTGGACGGCTTGACTGTTGTTTGGGCGGAGCGGCATATGCACTGCTGGACAATACAAAACTCACAGCAGCAATACAAAAGTTTAGGTATTTCATTTGATCCGGATAGAGCTAGCAAGTATGGCTGTTGACAAAGTTGGGCTTTTATAGTTGATAACCGTTGGGGCTGGTAGCACAATATCAAAAATGCGGAAACCTGTACAAATATACTACGCTACGTCACCATAATGCGGCTGCATACTTTGTACATGTATATTTGCTCACCCTTATTGACACCCTATTTCCTGTAAACGCGAATCCATATCAACATTTTCCAATTAACCGTTTTTGCCTCTGTAGTTTCTGGCTGTCATTTATGTACTATACCATGTAGCCAATGTCCAGACTGATAAAAAGCATAACACGGATTGTTTCAAAGCCAAATATTGGCTGGATCATCAGGGTTGTTCAAGGGACGGCGTCCTGGAATATATAAATAGTCAATATGCATGTTAGGCTAGACAAATAGCAAATATAGAGTTAGGGCTAGTGCTAAATATTAGCTAGGGCGATCCACATTTAGGGTTGAAATTTGTTTAGCTTTGGATATTTGTCAACTTCATTAAGCAGTTGAGCCATTATTCGAGTAGATATCAATATTTCATAGTCGGCCAGTTGTATCCAGTGACCCAGTTGATCGACACTGTTGATTCCATATCAACCATTTTGTATATCTGTATATCTGTATATTTGTATATTGTTATATCACTCAGTTCATAGACTGCCAGTTTCACTGATACTAGATTGTACTAAACACTACAATATTGTGTTGCAACACTCGACAGTACCAATTAAATGGGTATTGTTATAACAATGAGTTGCTGGCCCTTACAGTCATTGATAGATTGCAATACAAATAATGTTGGAACGTCAAGGTTTTTTAATGAATATTATCCCAGCGAGTGGCGAGACACTAAATGATTTCATAAAGTAAATCGTATCTGTACAAACATGGGCTAGTGCTGTCACAAGTTTGTCAGCCAATTGTTGTATGATGGTCTCGGTGACAGCGGCATAATCGTGTCTGGTACTACCAGTACGCTACCAGTAGTTACATCGAGTGATCGTTCAAATAGGTTGATTCAAATGGGTTGGATATAACCGACTAATCCAGCATCCATCCATTGTCAAACAACCATAATGCACAATACCACCAAGTGTGCGATTACACCCGCACTGATCAGTCATTGCACAGTATGTATTAATCAATGTCAAACATATGTGTGTCTGCAACTAAATTGCAGTCCATGACACATCCACACGATTCAACATGTCAAATCATGTATTGCGAGTCCAAGATTGATCAAAAACATGATCATGGTAAACAACATGTTACATATTGGAGTCGAACAATACACCACTATTGATATCGTATTTTCATTTTTAGCATATAGTACTAGTGTTGCATATATTGATTAATTGACAGTGTATTCCATAAATTTTATTCCAGTTTATTTTAATTATTGCAAGTCTCACGACATATCCTGAAGTGGTATCCATATATGAGCTGATATTTGAACCTGTATCATGCTGTACGAGGAAATCACCAATGACTAGAATAGCAAGAAACCAGACGCATCCATCAAGTGTTTATTCAAAAGTATTGTGCCTGGAATCGAGATGGACCTACTGTTATACGACTGGGTGGTGCTCGAGAGCTAGTCGCAGATTTTGATTGGACGGGAGTTGGAGTAACCTCGGCTGTCTTGGTTGCCTTGGCCGTCTCGGTGACCAGTTTAATTTTAAAAAACTTTGAACCCTGTGGTTCAGTGTGTTCAGAAGGTTTGCTTGGAGATTCTGACTGGACGGGAGTTGGAGTAACCTCGGTTGTCTCAGCTGTCTCGGTGGCCAGTTTAATTTTAAAAACCTTTCGACCTTGTGGTTCAGTGTGTTCAGAAGGCTTGCTTGGAGATTCTGACTGGACGGGAGTATGACTTTCCTTGATATCTTCGGTATCTGCTTTCTGCTTTATGAACTTTGATTCCAGATTTTCAGGCAAGCCACTACTCTTTGACTCGGACTCCTTTTGATCCTCCTTTTCTTGGCGCTGCTTTTCAAGTTCTTCGAGTTCCTGTTGACGTTCTTTTTCAAGCTTTTGTTTGAATTTCCGACCTTGTCTTTCAACTTTCTCCTCAAAGTCCCGTTGAAGCATTTTTTCAAGTTGCATTGAACGCTGTCTGTCTTCAAGCTCCTGGAGACGCTGTTCGAGTTCTTTTTGACGTTGTTTCTCTTCGCGCTCTTTCTTTTTATGATGTTCTTGTTTATGCCTTTCTTCGGATCCCTTTCGGCGCTGCTGTCGCTCATGCTGTTCTTCAGGATTCTGTTGACGTTCTTTTTCAAGCTTTTGTTTGAGTTTCCGACCTTGTTTTTTAAAGTTTTCCTCAAAGTCCCGGTCAAGCATTTTTTCAAGTTGAATTGAACGCTGTCTGCTTTCAAACTCCTGGAGACGCTGTTCGAGTTCAGGCTGCTGTTCGAGTTCTTTTTGACGTTGTTTCTCTTCGCGCTCTTTCTTTTTATGATGTTCTTGTTTATGCCTTTCTTCGGATCCCTTTCGGCGCTGCTGTCGCTCATGCTGTTCTTCAGGATTCTGTTGACGTTCTTTTTCAAGCTTTTGTTTGAGTTTCCGACCTTGTTTTTTAAAGTTTTCCTCAAAGTCCCGGTCAAGCATTTTTTCAAGTTGAATTGAACGCTGTCTGCTTTCAAACTCCTGGAGACGCTGTTCGAGTTCAGGCTGCTGTTCGAGTTCTTTTTGACGTTGTTTCTCTTCGCGCTCTTTCTTTTTATGATGTTCTTGTTTATGCCTTTCTTCGAGCATCTTTCGGCGCTGCTGTCGCTCATGCTGTCTTTCAGGATCCTGCTCACGCTGTTGTTGAAGTTCTTTCCAGGCCTGCCTTTCTTGATGCAGTTTTTCCTCAAACTCATGTTGAAGCTGTTGCTCAAGATCTAATTCATGCTGTCTGTCTTCAAACTCCTGGAGACGCTGTTTTAGCTCATGCCGTTCCTGTTTCTGTTGACGTAGTGCTTCTTTGAGCTCTTTCTTTTTATGATGTTTTTTGAGTTCTTGTTCGGGTTCGGGTTCTTGTTCGGATTCGGATTCTTGTTCTTGTCCGGGTGTTTGTCCAAGTTCCTGTTCGGGTGTTTGTTCAAGTTCCTGTTCGGGTGTTTGTTCAAGTTCTTGTTCGGGTGTTTGTTCAAGCTCTTGTTCGGGTGTTTGTCCAAGTTCTTGTTCGGGTGTTTGTTCAAGTTCCTGTTCAGGTGTTTGTTCAAGTTCCTGTTCAGGTGTTTGTTCAAGCTCTTGTTCAGGTTCTTGTTTGGATTCAAGTTTTTGCTCGGGTTCAAATTCAAATTTAAATTCAAGTTCCTGTTCGGATTCAGGTTCTTGTCCGGGTGTTTGTTCAAGTTCTTGTCCGGGTTCGGATTCAGGTTCCTGTTCGGATTCTTGTTCTTGTTCGGATTCAGGTCCTTGTTCGGATGCTTGTTCAAGTTCTTGTTGATATCTTTCCTCCTCACGCTCTTTTTTGAGAGCCTTGACCTTTTTCTTGTCTTGCAGAATTTCAAAAGTATCATCCCCAAGATTTTCGTCAGGTGGATCCTCTTTGTCAAACTCCCTAAGATTTAGGCCCCCAAAGCTTATTTTTTTACGTTTCCGAAGTGGATACTTGCATTTTTTTGATTTCATGCATGATTTCAATTGCTCATCAAACTGTACTAGAACTCTTACTGGACTTGGGCCAGTGGGCTCAAACACTAATCTGAGCATCTCCCACGTTGTTCCCAGTAGTAGTTCAGGTAGCAATGGCCTATAATCATCAGATATCTGACCTCCTCCCCAAATTCTCATCAAGAGATCTTCCATCAATTCTGGATCTATAGTAAACGGATATCCCAATTCGAATGTGTCTGGAACAGTGAGACCAACCTCTCTCATACGACCTTCGATTTCCATCAGTTGTTGCATTAGTGTCATAGTTCCCCATCCTGGAATTCCCATATAGTTACCAAAGAAATCAACACTAGCACCAGGACGAGTGCCCCTATATTCGGGTTTTAGCTGGTCACTTGAAGGGGGTTCGTGTTCAACGTTAGGTGTAGTGTTGACTTTAGAGTTATCATGATCTGAATTGGGGTGTTGTTCAGAAGGCTGTTGCTCAGAAGTATGTTGATCGGGTTGAGAATCAGGGTGCTGTTGAGGATCTAATTGTTGAGGAGGTTGCTCAGATTGCTGTCCAGATCGTTGTCCAGATTTCAGATATAAATTGGGATCGAATCGCTGTCGAGGAGGTTGCTGAGAAGGTTGTTGCTCAGAAGTCTGTTGTTCAGAAGTCTGTTGTCCAGATCGTTGTCCAGATTTCAGATATAAATTGGGATTGAATCGCCGTGGAGGTTGTTGCTCAGGAGTCTGTTGTTCAGGAATCTGTGGTTCAGATGACTGTGGTTCAGATGACTGTGGTTCAGGAATCTGTGGTTCAGATGACTGTGGTTCAGGAATCTGTGGTTCAGATGACTGTGGTTCAGGAATCTGTGGTTCAGATGACTGTGGTTCAGGAATCTGTGGTTCAGATGACTGTGGTTCAGGAATCTGCTGTTCAGGAATCTGTTGCTCAGGAATCTGTTGCTCAGGAGTCTGTTGATCGGGTTGAGGATCGGGCTGTGGTTGATAAAGAAAGCCAGATCGCTGCCGAGGTTTCAGGTAGAAACTAGGATCGAATCGCCGTGAAGGAGGTTGTTGAGAAGGCTGAGGATCTAATTGTTGTTGAGGAGGTTGCTCAGATTGCTGTCCAGATTTCTGTCCAGATTTCAGATATAAATTGTGATTGATTCGCTGTCGAGGAGGTTGCTGGGGAGGTTGTTGAGAAGGTTGTTCACTTGTTGATCCAGCTTCGGTTGAACCTGTACCAAGATTTTGCACGTCGTTTCCAGTTGAAAGATGAGATCCACTGCCATGGGATATTTGTTCTTGTTCTTGTTGTTGTTGTTGTTCTTGTTGCTTCAGATAATCGTCTAATCCTCGCTTTTCAAGCTCGACGGATTGCCCACCAATAGATGGATGAGCAATGACTGCAGTCGACAGTAGCTGTAATACAGCAATCGATACAAATTTCATGTTTACTGTTAAAAATAGTGACGCAACACTTGTTCAGCACAGCAAGTGTCAACAGTAATCCAGTGGATGGGTTGATTTTGGATGGACCATGGAAACTATCCTTATTTAAATATTATGAGTATAAAGGGATGCCTTAAGCATACAAGGGAGGCATAGCTTAACAAGCGAATATTCAATTCATTCAAACGCACCACAACCAAACCCTACACACTGGATTCTTCATTCACAAAATGGCGAAATCTTGTATTTTAGGACTGAGCAGCCCTACTTGAACCTCAAAAGCGGTCATATTAAAGCTCACTAGTACATTTAGTTAGCCCTGATTTTTAGAACGGAAATCCCTGCAAAATATTGTAATTCATTTTATCAAGTATAGCTTGCTAACCCTTGTACTATTTTCAGTAATACAACCAGTACATTGCTTCAATATTGCCTCGACAATCAAGTCCGACTGTTGAAGCATTTGTTATATAGGGTAATATAGAAAGTCATTAATGCCAAAAAGACATCATTTTAGTAAGAATATTGATTGGATGCGCCAAATCAAGTATTTATGTAGCAAATGACAAGATTAAACCATTTCAATCATATCTCACCAATCAATAACTATATACTTTAAACTACTGGCGACTGACTGGTCAGCCGTTTACAAAAAATAATTTCATTGAATGACAACTCATTAAAGGCCGCTTTTAAAGGGCTGGATATATGGGATTCATGCAATGCAATGCATGTGTTCCATTTTACGCGAATACGGTTGTAATAGGGCCATTTGAATGTAGAGTGAAGACGGCTGTCTGGTAATTGGTTGACAAATTAAAACTGAAAAACTATACGCCCTATCCGCACCAATGCCCTAAACTTTAACGTTTCCAGTCAATTTGTAAAACGAAACACTTGTATTTATCTTGCAGTGATTGTCTTGGAATAAGCGATGGTCGAGTATTTCTTGTTTTCCTACTACAGATTGACTGCTTTTTGTATAAAAGCTCTGTTGTATCCTGACATCAGATATATTCGTGTTGCAGTTCAAAACGTCTTGGGAATGCAACTGTTGTTTCCATGTCAACTGTCCAATATTTGTTTTGGAAAAAAAGGAAGACTAGAGACTGAAAAGACGTCAAGGGTGACAATGTATTGGAATAGGGATGCGTGCCAGTATTTGGTTTATGTTTGTACAAGAATGGCGGAAAGGCCAGCAAACTTTTCCAAGGGATTGAATGACAATGTTTTCCAGTAGGACTGGCACCAATCAAACATGAGATGGGCCGCTTATCATATATTTAGAAGCCCTTAACATTGCATTTTATGTGAACACAGCTGTAAACATCATATGTCATCAATATCAAGCAATCTTTCCAATTGCTTTTATTGAAAGCTATTTTGCAGCGGTCATCAATTGACAATGAATGTCTACCCTTTGGTGCAAAGCACACTTTCAAATAAGCTCGAATAAAGGAAGGTGCTGACAAAAAAAATCAGCAATTGGATAGGGTGGAAAAAGGTATCTTGGCTTAGTAAAAATATTCGTTATGCTTTCCTATTACAAACCAACTTCAATTGGCATTGTCAATTCTTCAATAAACACAGCGATCATCATATAATGATCGCAGTCAAACGATGATTTTGGACTGATATTGTTCTCACTTGGCATAGCCATACATTGTACGATTACTAGATTCATCCACTTCAGATACCGAGCTTGACTGTTCTGAAGTGAACATTCGCCTAGTTTTTATACAAGAATGAGTAAAGGAAGGCATTAGTAAGCGTTAAAACGTTCATGACAATGCTGTTCAGTAAATTGAAACCCGTTATTTTACGACTGTTTATTCTGCACACTCCTATTTGGTAACCCATTACATGAATACAGTTCAATAAATGGATTGTCCACGTGTACGAATAAAGTGTCCGAACTATAAAAGACTATCACTAGATTTCAAATCCATCATCCTGTTACGCTAAAGAATGCCCAAACCTGCTTCTCCCACAAAGAGCGTTGTCGCAAAAAAGACCTGTAGTGATCTTGCTTCCAAGGTAGAAAAGGCAGTTCATGCTTTCAACCTCTGGTAAGAACCTATTCTGATGCCTTTTATTCACACATGTCTGGTTATTTAACCGTCTTTTATGCTTGATAATAACGGTTACTTTATCTATGCTGGGTTCTAATACTTGTCTCATTTTAATGGACTTGTTACTTGATAATGCTAGGTGCCAGCAGTGTCTGCATGGCGATGCTGCTGCTCATGACAAATTTGCTCATGCCATAAAGTCGTTTTCTACCGATTGGAAGGTGATTTTGGCCATGTATATCATGTGTGGTTAAAACTAGTAATAGGCTGATATGACTTGAGTTCTCTTATTCAAGCTACAGCCGTATTTACGTAAAATAGACTAGTTTGAATAGTTGCACTTTCCTACTACACATTGACAATTCCCACAATTCCCGCAATTCCCTAAACCCAACGACCATCATATGATGCACACAATCAGATTATGATTTTGAATAGAAACTCTACATTGTATAATTACCAGATTCCTCCATTTCAATTATATAGAGTAAATGTTGTCAATGCAACTCTACACTTGTAATCTGAATCACAGATACGTTTGTATCCTGGTCAACAGCAATGATGGCACATTTCAGTCATTCAATTGTTGTTTGTGTGTTAACCACCAACAATACCACTACTGAACTGATTGACAGTTCATGATACCTATTTAAATGGTCCATTTACGTCAATATAATTGTCATGATTTGATGGACAAATTTAAACTCGTAATTTTTATGGTGCCTAGTGTGTTTTTGCCAGCGGTGACAAGGCAGAGTATTCTGGCATTAAAGATTGGTTCAACTATGGTAAAGTTTAGTGTTTCAGCAAATGGTTTTACTATCTATGCTGACATTCTGATATAGATCTCAAGGTTGCCAACGATCCTTTGGCCAAGTGTCATTCCAGTAACTTTGAGACCATTTGGGAAAATCAAGATGCAATTCTTTTAAGCTATGATTCCGAATGGTCCAAAAAGGGAGTGCCGACCCACACTATATACAGTGCCATGTGGATCAAGGATAAAGACGCACCACATGGTGTCAAGTGTGTGTACTGGTCCGAGAGCCAACAGAAAAAGACAGAATGCACTGCTGTGGATCTCCAAGAACATTCCAAAGAGGACAAGAAGCGTCAAGCAGAAGAGCACGCCCAACCCAAGTCGCCCAAAAAGACCAAATAAACGATTTCAAAGCTGGTGAACAGTATTGAGAACGTAGACGCTCAGAGAAATAAACTGGAGTGTACACGTGATCTAGTGTGTAGTTGAAGCGATTATCGCTTTATTAGTCCAACAAAAGGTTTATACAATACACAGACGTTAATATTGGAAACTGTTCTTTCTGGAGAATACCAGTCTTGGCATTTGAATCAATTGTTGAACTTTCAGTCCAATGAATCCAGTCATTCCCTCCAACAGTGCTGTGGGTCCTCCTGCTGTGGTCTTTACTCCTGCCATGGCGGATGCTTCGGGTGGGTGGCAGCCTCGCTCAGAAGATCTGGCTAGTCTTGTGTTGCTGTTTGTGCGCTCTTCTCAAGGAGATTCTCAAGTTCAAGCTCAGTTGATGCAGGTGATTACTCGAGTAGCGAATCTTTTTTCATTCTGCATTTCTCGTATTATTGATTTTTCATCTCGAGGTTCTGGCACTGCCGTGTGGTCAAGAATGCGTTGTACTACTTGGACTGATAGTCATTCTGTTTCTAGAATTATATACTGTTTCATTATTCCCATTCAATTAAAATGTGCATTCTACTAGATCTTGTCCACCATATCTTGACCTTCTAATTGACTATTTGTCAAACTCAATCGCATATGGTGGCCAAGATCTGTCATTCTCGGTCTGTTTTATGCATCAAAATACTCTGCACGCCAATCCATTTCATTCTCATCAAAATATACCAACATGTACACTCATTGGTGGCTAACATTCACTAAACTTTTTTTAATATAACCAGCAACTTCATTCCTATGCAAGCATTGCTGATTTCCCAAACTATTTAGCTGTCATTTTTGCTCTTACAACTGAAGCCCCTGGTGTGCGAACTGTTGCTGGACTGACTTTAAAGAATACCCTTAGAGATTCTCGAGGTTCACTTCATCCCCAGGTACTAGAGTTTGTCAAGGCTACAACTCTACATGCTCTTGGTGATGCCGAGCCAATTATTCGTGCCACGAGCGGTACAGTAATTACTACTCTCAACAAAATTGACTCTCGTATTTGGCCCGATGTAGTTCCAAAACTTCTTGAATTGATTGATATGCGTGTTCCTGCGTTGGAAGAGGTAAGCGACAGTTTTGATCAATTTAAAATACACACTGTACTGATTGATTTACTCGACTATTTAACAGGGCGCTTTTCTAGCTCTTCGCAAAATCTGCGAAGATTCTTGCAACGAACTCGACGAAGGCGATCCACAAATACTGAGCTATATGATTCAAAAACTACTTCATCACATGCACAATCAAAACATTAAAGTTAGAACTGCGGCTGTAGAGTCACTCAATCAGTTTATTCTTAACCGATCCGATCCCCTCATGACCAACATCAACGCTTTTGTTGCAAGCCTCTACCAGCTCACCACAGATGTTGACAAGGGCATGCGTCGTGCCATATGTCAAGCTCTTGTTTTGATCTTTGAAGTTACCCCAGAAACTGTCATTCCAGAACTCAACAATGTGGTTAGTTTTATGCTTTTCTGTACTCAAGATGAGGAGGAAAAGGTGGCATTGGAAGCAAGTGAGTTTTGGCTGGCATTTGCCGAGCAGGAGAATTACCGTGACCATCTAGAGCCATTTTTACCTCAGTAAGTGTGGATTCTTGTCATTACTAAAATGCATTTCTACAATATAATCGAGCGACATCACCCTTACTAATTCCATATGTCTTTTAGAATTATTCCTGTTCTTGTAAAAGGCATGATATACACAAACGAAGAAGTCATGATGTTGGGTGGAGATGAAGATGATGCAAGTGTCCCCGATAATATTCAAGATATTAAACCTCACCACCACAAATCACGTAACCATGCAAATACTCCTGGCTCTGGACAACCCAAAAAAGATGACGACGATGATGACGACGATTACGATGATGATGATGATGACGATGTTGACAATGAGTGGAATGTGCGGAAATGCTCTGCTGCTGCTGTAGATGTTTTGGCCACCGTGTTTAAAGAGCATCTGCTGGAGGTCTTGCTACCACATCTTACCCAGCAGTTGTCTAGTTCTGATTGGCTTCATCGCGAAGCTGGAATTCTTGCACTTGGTGCCATTGCCGAAGGTACATTGGGCTGAAGCTGACCGTGTTTGACTAGATGTGTGTCTGACCACTTTGTATTTTTTGTTGCTTAATCTCAACTCAATCACAGGCTGTACAATGGGAATGATTCCTCATTTACCGACTTTAATTCCCACTCTATTGACTACTCTCAAGGATAAAAAGGTTTGCAATGTATTGTACAACCCAAATTTCATGTCAAAACTTTTCTACACATCTAATATTTTACACTATGCTTCATTTAAACAATTTTGTTGTCAAGCCTTTAGTGAGATCAATAACGTGTTGGACTTTGGGACGCTACGCCAGCTGGGTTGTTCACGGTGATCCTACGCGACAAGACAACACACACGAACAACGTCTTCAATATCTTAAAATTTACTTTGAACCCATGCTACAAGGACTGCTTGTCATGACTCTTGACAACAACAAAAGAGTTCAAGAGACTGGCTGTAGCGCACTGGCTGTACTTGAAGAAATCGCTGGTGATCTTTTAATTCCTTACCTTGGCCCTATTTTGCAAACACTGGGAAATGCTTTTGTCAAGTACCAGGTATACCTTTGACGAATGATTCCAGTTGAAAAATACACCATGTAACACATTGTTTTAATTTGTTTTTTGTTAGCATAAAAATTTGTTGATTCTATACGATGCTCTTGGCACTTTGGCAGATGCAGTTGGACCTGGATTAGACAACCCACAAGTGGTTGATCTGTTTATGCCTCGTCTTATAGAAAAGTGGGAGATGCTGCCAGACGATGACAGTGGCATTTTCCCACTGTTTGAATGTATTTCCTCTGTAGCAGTAGCCATGGGTGCTGGATTTGTTCCTTATGCTCCTGCAGTCTGGTCACGTTGCTTGCGCATCATCAGTACATCCTTGCATCAATTTCAAGTAAGCGTTATCTGATTATTTTCAAATAAGATCATAGCTAGACTTGATGGTATCTGACTACTGACATGAATTTCATTTACGCAATACAGATTTTCCAGCAAAATCCAGAACAGGTTCCAGAACCTGACAAGGACTTTATTGTGGTATCCCAAGATCTTTTGAGCGGAATCACTCAAGGTCTCTGTGGAAATGTGGCTCCTTTGATTTCATCTGGAGAGCCTTCTATTTTAAATATACTTACCGTTTGTCTAAAGGTGTAGGCTTGACTTTAATTCATCCACTTGTCTATTTTAAACTATAGCGGATACTAACTGCAGATTTATGGAAATGGGTGCCAAATGTTTTTGCATATAGCATCCGTATAGCGAAGTGCGTCAAAGTGCATGCGCTTTACTTGGAGATTTTGCCATCAACGCATTCCCACAAATCAAACCATGTGTCAATGAGTACATGCAACACTGCGTTCCTTTGATCCAACCTAGCGTCCATGAAGAAGTATCTATAGCTATCAGCAATAACGCTACGTGGGCAGCTGGTGAAATTGCATTAAAAATGGGCAAGTTACAGATTGTGTTGTTGAGTTTGTTTATTTTAGTGTCATCTAACTTGTGATGTTTAGAGGGTGAGATGCAAATGTGGGTTCAGCCATTGCTTGAACGACTTATTCCAATCCTTCATTCTCGATGCAAGCAGACTCTCAAGGAAAATGCAGCCATCACCATTGGTCGCCTAAGTATTGCCAATGCAGCTATTATTGCACCTTTAGTTGATCAGTTTGCAAGAGACTGGTGCGAAACGCTTGGTCGCATTCGAGATAATCTTGAAAAAGAAAGTGCGTTTCAAGGTTTTTGTCAGCTTATTGTAGCGAATCCTAATGGTTTGGTACGCGACCTGGCCTATTTTTGTGATGCAGTTGTTCAATGGGGTAGAATATCACCCGAACTGAATGAAACATTTCGACGTGTGTTGACCATGTATGCTACCGGGATGGGAGATCAATGGCCTGCTACTGTCCAAGGGTTTCCTATTTCTATTCGTCAGCGTCTGAAAGAACGATATGATCTTTGAATTTATTTTTGTCGAATGAAAATCGCATTGTGAAAAAACATGAGTTGGACTTTATCCATTCGAAGCTGTAGCGCAGTCAGCTTTTAGCATTCTTTGAAATATTGATACTGTTAACGGGTTTCCAACCCATTCTAATCATCCAGCATCGAGTATAGCCATAACCCAAAACTTGAAAATAATTTATACATGACAAGATCTTGAACTCAATCCATTGTAAACCTCGATTCATTTTAGATACACCGTATATGCCTACCACACCCATCAAGCAATACATTGCATGGGTGTGTAAGCAAAATGGATTTAATCCAACTTGATACTTGAAGAGTATGTCTGTTGTTTCTGTTTTGATCCATGTCTTGTCTTTTGCTGTACACGATGCTTTTTAATAAAGAATCCTATCAGTGACCATTCACAACACACCCTACAGTCATCCATCAATAATGCATGATTCAACTCAACTGAAGAACGAATATACACGGCGAATTGAATCAACAAGATCCCATTGAGTACAGCGGCAGTTACAAACGAGAATAAAATGGCAGAATCCAGACCTTCTTGAATTGTGGTGAAAACACGAGCAATGGTGCCAGCAAATTGAAGAAATACTGTAATCAAGGACAATTGACCCGTAGAACCGGCCTTATAGTTGGCCCAGATCTGAGGCAGTTTACTTGGAATAACAAGGAAAATAGTACTCCATTGCAAGGTGGTCAAAAGACTCAAAGAAATCAATTGTTCTGAAAACAAACATGCACATGCAATGGTTCCTGCAATACCTCGAAACACCATGGCTCCATACTGTCCACGGTAACCGAGAATCAAAAAAAGAATCACTACATTTTGTAGATTGACAAAGACGCCTAGTTGGTTCAAGAAATGTTAATCAAGACATCAAGCATCGACACAGTATAAAAACAGTTGTCCGTTTCGATAGAATATACAGTCGAGTCAGCTCAAACTACCTTCTCCGTATGTCGAAAATGGATTGTTTAGACGATAATTATAAGCAACGGTGATGGCTACAGTCAATGCTTCAATGAAAATACTAGCAAAGGACAGTCCTTCAGCAGATCCGGATACAAGAATGTTGATGATTTGTGGAACCTTGAGAATAGCACTTCCAGCAACAATGCCAATAGACAGACCCTTGGACAGGAGCAGTTTGAAGCATTCGATACGAGCAAAATCAAAGGTCACAATAGCACTAGCGCAGGACTTGCCAATGAGGGGTTTCAGGATCTTTTGCGATATCAATTCCACTGGCCACCAGGTAGAAAAGAGCTCTACAAAAGAATTCGGTGTAACGGGCATCAAGCTGATAAAAGGCGATCCAGTTACGACTAAAACAGAATGAAAATGTAAAGATAAAGTTGAGAATTATTATTTCATAAAACTGTTTATTATAGTTTAGATTTGCAACTGCACACTCACAAATCTAAAGAAAATCATGATTGTGATAAAATAGGACGCTGTTCTGATTCCTGAGCAGACCATGCCAACCGTGTTTCAAAGGCATCAGAATCACTGTTCTGATCATCTTCCTCGACACCAGAAATCATAATCGCCATTTTATGTTCATCTTCTTGCATGTTATGCACTCCTGCTGCTCGATCTCGCTTCCAATCTCTTCCAAACATACTTGCCATTTCCCATTGCGTTGTAATCCGTCGAATATGTACATCAACAACAAACACTTCCCATAGTACTGCTATTGCTGTATACGCAATCAGCACGCCAAGTTGTCCAAACCTAAATGATATAGGTATTCCCGGTTGAATTGAAAATAACCATGACACCACATCACTGTACTCTAAAGATCCAATTGGCGATGAATTGAGTAGCAGCAGCAACATGGCAACAAGGACACATGTAATGACTGAAATACTACTTGCAAAAAAGTAGTTGGTCCATGGAGGACTTCGGAAACGCGCTGTACTCATAAATACAAGACTCACGCTGATAAACATGCAATGTGAAAATAACCATATACTTGTGTTTTCAAATGACTTGGTAACAAGTCCTTGCGTCACATCTCTGTCTGGGTCAATTCTACAAACGTTGAATTTCATTGGATTGGGTGTTGGAAAAATGGTTACATTGGATCACGATACCACTTGAACATAAAGCATGTATAAAACTGACTTACGGGTAGCATGGATAGACTGGATGTGTCAATCCATCATCATTTGGTAAAAATGCGTCATTCAAACCAGCAGTTGCTTCCCTCACAGAGCAAAACCATGGCTGCGAAAACGTCATGGCCACGTTTATACAAAAAAATCCAGCAGAAAACAGTACTTGTGCCAACACAGATGCCAATACAAGTGGTGAAAGCAACGAATCCGTTGGACGATCTTGTGCCAATGAAGTAAAAGGTTTGGTATACAACATAGAAAACGCCAAAAGAGTGACTACAAACACATTATCGAAAAAAAATTGATTGTTTGAAAGAGCACTTCCATACTGATTCAATGTGGCTGACATCATCAGCTGTATAATAGGGTATAAAGTCATGTACTAGATGTATACATACAAACGTGTATATCAAAAAATGAATTGTCAAACTTATGTTCAATAACAATAAAAAACCCCTGGTAGCTGACATTATAAATACCTTGAATGCTACAAAAGATGTCTCGAGTGCACACCGTCCTTCGCGTACAAGACACACCATATCCAAAATGTTTTCGTTTGCAGATGTAAATGGGGCTACCATGGATGCTTCAGAGTTGGACAAAGCAAGACCAACATGTGCAGATTTAAGCGCACCACAATCATTTGCACCTAAATAGCGTAGGGCATACAAAAGGCTGATCAGATAAAACAAGCCAATTTTAATATATGAATCCAAACTAACTCTATTCAATAAATATATACCATCACCACACATTGCTACACATTTTCCAAGCATAATAAGTCGCTCGACAATCCATGATTTTTGATCTGGTTTGATTCTAGAAAATACACGCGTTCGTCCAACAATCCAGTCGACAAACTCAGTATCTGGGCGTTCACTTAAAACAGAAAGCGCATCGCCAGTTATGGCTATCTCTGTTTGCGCTGGCATTTGTGACAGTTGATAGATTAAATCATCAATGTGAATATGTCGTCGTGCATCCATGCTTACAAAAGAAGTGTTCAAAAATGAATCAGTAGCTGTTCGCGAGGGTAAAGTTGGGTTTGGTTTGGCTTGCAATGACAAATCTTTGAATGTGCTTATAGCCGATGATATGTCAGGCGGCTCTGGTATTTCTGAAAATCGTACTTGTGACTCGTGTGTGTCAATCAATATTGTATGCTTGCACAACCCCAATTCTCGAGCCACATGAACTGCAGTAAATGCATTATCACCAGTGCTATAACATGATGCATCAACGGGTTCAAACATGAATGATTAAACTATCCTACACTCACCTCTATTTTAAACCTCCACTTTTGACTTACATGATAACGTTTCGAATTTTGGCATCTTTGAATGCAGTAATGGTTTCCTGAGCTTCAGATTTGAGCGGATTTTCAAACAAAAGAAATCCAAGAAAAATCATATTTCGTTCCACCTTGTCTCTTCGTGCTAAAAGCAACTCTGAAGTCAGATGCTGTGGAAACTCTTGGATTGTTGTCGGTCGATAAGCACACGCAATGACATACAGTCCTCGCATGGTAAATGACTGACACGTATCAAAATAATTGTGTGGGATTGTATGTGGATCACAAACATGCCGTATTGCTTCGGCAGATCCTTTGGTAAATATACACCAGTTGAGGAGTGGGGAGTGACCTAACGATGCAATGACCGTGCTGCGCTGAGTGTGCGGATCAAAATCAAATCTTTTTAAAATATACATTGTTGGTTCTTGTTGAGGAATATCTGAAATGATCAAAGTCTCCGTTTCAGACAATGGTGCATTCGTAGAATTGGCTTGATGGGTAAATAGTGGAAAGCGTGGAATAACTACGCCAGCGATTGGTATATTGTATGTTTGAGCCAGAGAGTACAGATAATCTTCATCTCGAAGCTTCCAGTTTGTCACTCGAAACATTTCCATATCGATCGTATGTCCCGTATAACCACCACGTTCATTCACAGTAAGACCGTGACAGACAAGCATGCACTGCTGCAATAGAATCACCTGAGATGTCTCGACATGGGCTAAATTCGAGGAATCATCATCAAGTCTAAATGTGTGCTTGTTAAATGTAGATCCAAACTCTTCTGTAGAAGCCGAGTAGTGTTGAATGCTGGAAAAAACTTGATTGTCCACATGGCTTACTCCATAAAAATGAAGATTTGGGGTGGTTAGTGTACCGGTTTTATCCCAGCATATAACATTGACTCTTCCAGAATAGTTGATTCGATTTGGACTAGTGCAAAATATTTTGGCTTTTTTCAATCGCTCCATGGATAATCCAGTTCCCACAGTGAGTATAAGTGGCAGTGCGGGAGGAACTGCAATAGTGATCAAATCCAGTGAAGACAGAATTGCACTTTGTAATGTTGACCCATTTCTATATGCATGAATTGATCGATTGAGAAAAGCAACACATGCTATTATACTTAGACCAACCAGATATTTGTAAGAGTCTGAATTGAATTTAAACTCGATATGATTTGGATACAAAATAGAACGAAAAAGTTCTCCTTTGGAAGATGCAAATCCTGTCGCCATGACAATAGCAATGGCCATTTCAGGTTCACTAACCAATGTACTATTCATTGATGGAATCCAGTTTTTGCGTGGTTTGATTTCAACAAATTGCGATCCAGCAAACAAAGTATGCTGTCGATGTTTATCTGGATTAAGAATGGCAGCATGTCTTTTTTTGGAGGAATTTGAATGCATGTCATCGGCTCGAAAATCATGGCTGGGTCCACGTCCTGGCATACTTGTGCGTCGCTCAGTGACTGCATAAGGAAGAGCAAGTTTCATAACAGGAACGGTTTCTCCAGTAAGCGTGGATTCGTCCATGACACACTCTCCTTGGATAATCACCATGTCACACGCCAATATACTTCCCTCCAATATGTCTTTTGCAGCACTCAATACAATTGCATCACCCAACACTAACTGGCTTGATTCAAGATGATGCAAAACTCCATCACGAAGCACTGGATAAAGTCCTGATTGATCTCTCGTCAACTCTCTTTGATTGTGTTCATTAGTTCTTGACGTGTATACCTCCCAGGAAATAGATGCAAGGCTGAGCGCAACAATTAATAATGCATACGACGTGTAACTCTCAGCCAACCAAATCGCAACAGAAGCGATTTGAAAAATATAAAAAGGATGTGATGCCTTGTCTAATAGGAGCGTGTAAATGTGTGTATATCCAATATCAATCGAATTGGATCCGTTGGTACTCATAAGAGTATCGGCTTCTTGAGTGGATTTTCCATATCTCATATTATGAATTTCCGGAAATGACTCGAATAATCTAGCGTTTTGTCGCTGGATTTCAAGACGAATAGAATAGTCATAGACCCAATATAATGTTATCAAGTATTCTTTAAACTCTATAACCCTTTGCAATGTAAACAAACACAATACCTGAAAATTTGAAAACATTTCCTTGTATATGTAACGCTGTTTACGATACTCAAAGTATCGAAGATGTTTTACCTGCCTTCCAGTCGACTGTGTGTCTAACGAGCTGATTGATAAAATGGGCAGCTCTACCGATTTACCGTTTGGACCAGTGACCAGTACAAAGTTTGCATCACGAAATGCTCGACAACTAGATCTAGCCAACGTGCACCATATCTGTGGTTTCCATTTCGCGACCAAAGGGAGAACTCCAAATGTCGCCAACGAAAAGATGATAAACAAGACAAGACCTACAGTTGATTCAGTGTATCCAGATATGTCGATATATTCTGGAGCCAAGAATGTGGGGTCGTTATGTACTGCCTTTGATGATAGATGTGAGAGAGTAGCAGCTTCATTTGTTTTTGAACCTGGAGTTGTGACTAGACGCTCCAAAGTCTCTATATACCCACGGACAGCCTAAATGAGCATTATATTGAATGCATGGTATATAATTATTCATGTATTTTATGAATAAGCGCTCATGGTTTTTCTCAAGGATGCATGCACTCTTGTATTGGCAAGATTTGATTTACCTTGTATGCTTCTCGAAGAGCCTGCATGGATATGAAATTGAAGCAACTGGTGTTTTTCTAATAATTACTGTTTTTGGCTATGTTTTAAAAGAAATAGCACCGCTTATAACAACAGAATATATTTGATATGAGATGGCCTAGACTTGGACTCGAAAGAAACGTGCAGGTAGATTTTTGTAGTTCCAAAAGTTTAAACTGGTGAGCAAAACAGTGGCATTAAATAGGCTTAATACTCTTTAAGATGGCTAGAAATAAAATATATACCTGTTGTAAATGCTGTAAATGGCCAAGATGTAACTTGATGATTGTCAAGACAAACTTTTCAAAACATTGACAAGAATCAGTATTTCGCGCAATTTGCATCGAGTCGAATGGTTGAATTCACTAGTCTTGAACCGAGACTGTACGCTCACCATTGTTGTATTCTAAATCACACACACTCGTGTTCTAGTTTAGCATATCTTGGAAATTCAACTGTCATTTGCATATCAATTACCAAAAAATCACTCAAAACACAACGTGTTCAGTAGATTGACAATAGTCGTACAAAATGGCTGTTTATTATATACTGGCACTCTTATGAATATCACATTTTACGTGAATACACACCTAAATCAATTGCCCAGTAAATTGCCAGATTTACTCGAATTTGAAAAACTTTAAAGCCAATGCAGTGGTGTGTATTTAAACTGATTCGGAATAGCTCACTCGTGTATTTCAACATGAATGGCAGGTAATTGATGATTAATCGTGATTAAAAACCTGTCAGTCCAACCCAATTCACGATTTTGATGATTGTCTAGTAAAGTAGCCGGTTTAAACAACTTGAAACCCATGGATACGAATGTTCAAACTTATTCCTTGCCAAATTGCTTTATAAAAAGTTGAGTTGGTAAAAAGAATACAAACACATGCATTTAGGATTTGTAAACTTACAATAACCATTGGTTTTTCTTCAAGAATGAGTCCATGGAAAAGGTTCAAGGCAGTTTCAGCTAGTTTGGTTGTTTCGTATTTTACAAAGGCTTGGCCCTTCATTTTGCCTTTTTTCATCAAACGCACATCTATACGACTATAAAGATCACTGGTTAAAACAATAGACATTTTTACATTACAAAATCAATGCACTTTACTTTTCTGGCAAACTAGAAGATGGAAGGATTTTGGAAAACAGATTAAGCAGTTGTGAATCCGAGACACGCTTATAATTGATATTCTTGATGAACAATGTTTTTGAAGGAGATCCTTGATTATAGTTTTTGTAAGCAGGGAGTTGAAGCAGCGTAGAGTGTGATGCTTTTAACAAGCGATCTGAACCAAGTACAGACAAAGCATCCAGTTCCACGTTGCTCGGGCCAGTCTCTGTTGTGGATAGATTTGTGTCAATGGGATGGATGGGCTGAACTGTTGAATGATTTGATACGAGTGCAATATCATCACACGTTTGAGAATGAATACAAATGTTGATGGCATGCTGGTTGAGTTTCTTGGATGCTACAACAGATTTGTAGCTGGATGACTTGATACCATCAGATCCACATTTTGAATTCAATTTCTGGCGTTTGCACGTAGCTGGTTCAAGTACAATGGGAAAAGTATCAGAAGAATCACTTTCAAACTCTTCTTTGAATGCATTGCTATTTTCAACCAAGGATGAATTTTGAATCTTTCGTTTTTTTGAACTGTCAGACATTGTATTCTTGTTTGAAGTAGCCTTGGTTTTGGAACATATATCTTGTTTGTTTGGAAGATCATTAATGGATGGATAACAAGTCCATGGCGGAGGCAGATGCATTTTGTTCATGAGATGCAAGACCTGAGTATAGAGAGCGGGGACTGCTTTGATTGCAGTGGATATATTTAGTAAAATCTCAGGAGTTGGATTAGGATATTTATAAAGCAATGCAGGATTAGAAGGATAGTAAATTCTATTGAATCAATCAGATACGAGTCAGTGAGAATGAAATCCAAGTAGTAACCAATGACAAACTATTTGAAACAGAAGCCAATACTAAAACATACCCCAAATCCATTGAGATGGGATCAAATGAAGGTTTTAAACGTAATGGTTTCCCCATGATGCGTAGAGCAGAAAGAGTTTCGAGAGCAGACACGGCATCAGAGAGAGAATCAAAGATGAGATTGATGGGAGCGAACGGAACAATTGTTTCAACAGAATCGAAAACAACAGGCTGACTCAAGTCTGAGAGTAAAGACGGCAGCACAGAACGAACGGATTCAGGACAATTTATAATAGAAATCTGATGAGTTTTGAGCATAACTTTTGTGACAAGATTTTGATAATTTTTCAAGTTGTCGAAACTTGTTAGAAACTGCAATGGAATGGACTACTCCGGATGACTTGCATTCCAGCACCACTACAACAACTGCTACACATGGAGCTCTTACAGGATTGTTTGATTCTGCTTATGCGTCTTGCCATTCCGATCAATCGCCTTCTCAATTCGCAAAGAATCGTCAGTTGTTGCTCTTTCTTTTGGGTCAGACAAAGACTCTGTTAGATGGATTGGCGCATGCTTCAACCATGCAGCCTCTGTTGTATCCTTCTGCTGCTTCGCAAGCACTTTCTATTCTGTCCATCCACTCTCACAATCCTGTCAACTCTTCCGTCTTGACCAACAGCTTCACTTCAAACAGTGTTTATTCTTCGTATACTTCTAGTCGTGGTAGTCATAAAAACTTACCCAACGGCATACAGGCTAATGATGCTTCTTTGGCCTCTGCTTTACTTCAACGCATCAATGATTCAGTTTCACATATAGAAAACTTGGAAATTCGCATTGCTGATACCCATTCAAGAGTGCTTGTTACAGGTGATGTCAATGCAGGAAAGAGCACTTTTGTCAATACCTTGCTTCGACGTCAGATCGTTCCTGACGATCAAGAGCCTTGCACTGCTCTGTTTGTCGAGGTCATGGATCCTCAGCAAAATGGAGGTGTCGAGGAATTTCATGCCATCAAGGAAAATGTCGATTATCATCCATCCGATCGTTCTTCGTTTACTCGCTTTGATCTGCATGAGCTGCGCTCCGTTGTAGAAATCAACGAGCCAGAGTTTTCTATGATCAAGGTTTACTGCATGGACAATCGTGACTCTGTTTCGTCATTACTTCATAACGGTGTTGTTGACATCAGCTTTATCGACTCGCCTGGTCTCAATATTGATTCTGTCAAAACTACTTCTCTGTTTACAAAACAGGAAGAGATTGATGTCATTGTGTTTGTTGTCCGTGCTGAAAACCATTTTACCCAATCGGTAAGTACTCAACTCGTCAACATACTCTGGCATGGTGTATTAATCTATCTGTCTATATACCATGATAGAGTTGCGATTTTTTAGCTACCGCATGCAAGGAAAAGGCATCTGTCTTTATTGTTGTCAATCGATTTGATCAGATTCGTCGAAAAGATAGATGTCGTCGCGAAATTTTAGATCAGATTCAAGGCATATCTCAACACACATTTGCTGATGCGGCCAATCTAGTGCACTTTGTTAGTGCTCGGATGGTGTTGGAGTCCGACTTAAAATTGGCTGAACGTAATGAAGAAGCTGAAGTATCTTTCAAGCATCTTGAGCAGTCGCTCCGTTCGTTTGTTTTGGAAAAAAGATCACGCTCCAAGCTTGGTCCTGCAAAGGTTTATCTTGGTCATATTTTGTCCGATGTTGCCATGATTTCAGAACACAACAAACTGATTTCACAGGAAAAAATTGACAAGCTTTCGTCCGAGCTAGATGAATCCACACCTGTTTTTGAGCGTATGGTATCACTCAAGGAAGACGTGCTTTCAGATATTGATAGAATCATTGGCAACACGAGTATCCTGATTGAGTCTCATTCTAAAGTTGAACTGGGTGATTTTATTGCTGAAATTGAGCCATTCAGTGACGGTGTTCAATGGGATGGTATCATGCATGCATGGCATTATGCACATAATTTGCGTCAGGTTGTGTTTCGTTTGGCCACCATTCGCATTCGTCGCTGTCAAGACTATGCCCGTGAGCATTCAATTGGCTGTATCAAACGCATTGAACAATTGGCTACAGATGCCATGTCAGTACCTCCCGAGATTAGCACTGCACCCATCACTGCAGCGTTTGATCAAAACCAACTGGCAGAAAGCTCACCCGAAGAAGTGGGAATTCAAATGTCCGACTTGTTTGATCTGACAGATAGACTTGATTTGCTCAAAGATTACATTCCTGGAATCACATTGATCACGGGTGCCTTGCTAGGCTACAAAGGATTTGCTAGTGGCATGTTGAATACACTACACACGGCAGGAGCATTGAGAATGACCAAGCTTGCTTTTACTGGAATTGGTCTTGCTGGTAAATCTTGCCTTGTTCATTGATTTGAATTCAACACTCGGTACTGTTATATTTATATTCCTTGAACCGTTTCTAGGTATCGGAATCATACTCTATGCGATTTCAGATATGAAATCTAGTATTCAACGCAAGGTGATTCGTAAACTGCAAGACCATTTTGCACACTCTGGGTTTGTGGAAAAAACAACAACAATCCTGTTTCGCACATCTCGTCAAGCACTACAATCCACCATTTGGGAATTTCAAAACCAATTCCAGCATCTGTTGGCTGAAAGTGAAGAGAAAATTATTGACCAAAACATAGCCAAGAAATCAGCACAAGATGCCCATGATTTCTACGAAGGTGCTCGAAAACGTGCTGCACATTTACAATCGCAACTGGACGAGATTGATTTGGATGTTTAGTTGTGATAGTGTTGATACTCTATTGTGGTCTCTTTGCGTTGGTTGATCTATTTGAATGATGCAGTATGTTGAACCACGATAGGATATCTTATTTTCACTCTTACTCCTCGAGATCAATCCATACAGTGAGCTTTCTTGGCTGGGTGTTGCATGGTATGACTGAAATAAAGTCTGCTCAATATAGTGACACTACTCTTGTATTTTAAAATGTCACTGTTGTTTGATAAACGGCCATCATGGTATGTGTAGGATGGATAAACAGTCGATAGGATTACAAATTTGAAGTACAATCACACATGGTATTGCTGATACTACTCGACAGATAAGACATACTACTATCAGATCAATTCATTGACGGAAAAGATGATAAACACTTGTCTGCAACACGGACCACCTCGTTTAGATACATTACAGTTGAGATACTTGCAGATAGATTCATCTCATGTGGCGTGATTGCGAGCGAGCATATTTGGTAAACTCGGAACGCATATACTTGACAAAAGTATACAAATCCCGTGAAGAGTTGAGCCACTCTATAGAAGCATCGATATTAAGCAGCATAGGCTTACACGATATCACTAAAACAACATACCAAGATTAGCCCACTATAAATACAAAACTGGCAAGTGGAAAAATAAACACGCATATACATGCTGACCAACATACTAACATTTGTATGCAGTAGTGTCCGATACTCCGAGTTCAAACGAATACTCTTGTTCAAGTTTGGCATCATTTACATGAGTAAATTTAAACTGGATAACATCGGCTAGGTATTCATAGATGCAAGTTTAAAATCAAATTGGGTTAAACATGGAGTGTATCATTGTAAAAGCTGATTTTAAAACGGTCAAAAACATGAGTAGACCAAATATTCGACATACAAACAGTTTGAACCATTTTCATGGCGAGAAGTTTCTCATACATGTCAAGCATGGGTATCAAATCCTCTGCCTCGGCCTGTTGTGCATTCTTTTTCAGATTTAATTCTATTTCCAAAGCAGCAAATTCACATTAGACGAATCTATTGGCAAGTCTTGATCTCGTTTGGAGAATATTACCTTGCCGCTTGGCATGAATATCACTTGTCAGTTGCTTGATTTTGGTATGAAGGGTTTCCAATTCAGCCTCTTTTGCCTTTCTAGTTTGAGCGAGTTGCGAGATCTCTCCTTCCATAAGCTCCTGCTCATTTCGCTGCGTATCCAGAGCTAAACCAAACACGATAATCAAGAGCAATAAGTATTAACTCTTTAATGAATAAAATAGCAGATACTGAGAAACAAATAAAACCCATTGAGTAGAATCTACTGCAATACACTATAGATGGACTGCAGTAGAAAACCAAAATATAGGTTCATGCCAACCTACTCTGCATTAGATCTTCTTCGTCAGACTTTAATGTTTCGACAAGCTTCCTGAGTTCTTGACTGCGAACTGGATTGAAATCGAATAAATAGATGATTAAAAGGCATTTCAATACCAAGTGTATAAGCCAAAAATATGAACTGTTTAGCACGATGCGTACAACTGGATTGAACTACCTTGCAAATCCTTCATGTCTTTGAGAAACGTATTTCGAGAATCTGCCATACTCTTGCCCTTTGCAAGAACCCAAGAATCAAAGGTCTGAGTAATAGTACTGCACACTGACTTTAAATCCAGAGTTTCGGGCTCTTTTGTAGTAGAATCCATTGCAGTGTTGGACTGGACTGACTCTGATGTATAAGGCTGATGAAGACGAACTGGAGTGGTTCCGGCAGGCATTAAAGAAGCCCTCATTAGTCTAGGCGTTCTTGGAGGAATAGAGCCACTCGGGCCAATTCCAAAGCCATTAGTCTGAGAGAGAAAGTGGATAGTCGACAGTCTGTTGGTCATGGTTATTGCTTTGGGTTGAATGTCCGAAATGCTTCAAAACCCTGCGACACTCACTCGAAATGCTGTTTTGTATTCTATTCTTGCACTCGAAATGTTGCCTTGCTTTCCTATTACGAATTCTTCAAGACTTTGAGATTCGATCGCTTGATGGCTGTATGGCTCTGTCCTTGAATCAATTGTACTTGACTCGATCCTTCTAATCACAATAGATTATCCACATATCCCCAAACAATCTGTATTACTTGATCACACTTAATCCGGTGCCAGTTGACCCTTGAATTGAATGTATAATTCCACTCTTACACAAGGTGGTGTAGCAGTGTTGATTACAGCCATATTCGCGTAAGATGAAACCAACCGAATATTCAAAGCAGCATTCCAGTCCCAGTCCCAGTTCCAGTCCCAGTCTATTCGTCTACAAATTCCTGACTTGGCTCAAATATTGGTGGCCAAAATTGAAACAATTGTTGTATTCCAGTGCCATGCAATCCCTGCTCTCTTGAATTAAAATGTATTCGAAATTTTAAAATACAAAATGTGTTTGTAATGATCGACGACATCAGGGATAAATCGGATTTCAAACTTGGCAATCGTAGGACTGCCAAAAGAGGATCACTCCAGTTCAAACGTGTAGCTTGCAAGGATCATATGATGGGCATCGCACTCGGAAAAATTAAAAATGTCTACTGAGCAAGCATTCAATCTCCAACAGGAAGGCACATGGACATTTAGCCATTGTTTATCCAAAGCAAAAAAGCTAATCACTACAAAATGGTCTATTTACGCGAATATGGCTGTAAATCAACTCGAGTGCCAGTGCACGTTAAGCCTTTAATGCTTGAGTGGCCTACCCGTGGCCACTCAATATTTTACAAAAGTCGATTAATCCTTGCCAAGCAAATGCATTGACGCCTTCATCTGGCTAAAATACCGCACATTTATCGAGTATTTGAACTCGGCTTTTGGAATGTAGACTTCAAAATCATCAACTTCGAGATCTACCAGACTTTGTCTCTACTACATAAAAAACTTTGTTACAATACACTAGATCCCAATCTCTTATCATGAACTTTCTTCTTCGTACTCTTGCTATTGCTTTCGTAGCAATCAACGGCATTCGTGCATCGCAATGTCCATCTGGCTTTACTTACACCGATTCAATCGGTGACTGCCGTGGAAATGGTCAAGAAAGCGGACAATTGTGCTATACGACGCAAACCTATACTTCAGATATTAATACGTGTATAAACCGAGCCAAACGCATATATGCTCAGTGTTATACCTCAGTTCAATCCGGCCGACCATATTGCTGGCCTGACGCACCTGGATCCACCTACAATGGTGGTACTTCCCAACCCAATCAGCTTGGATATCAGCTTCCTTCTCCAAACTCGAATCCCCCTCCTAGTCAAACTATACAGCAGTTTTCTCTAAGCGCCGCAAGCCCTACTGCTCAGGCCACTTCCTGTCAAAGTGAAGCTTCAGGCCCTATCAATGCAATTGTTAATATTCAGCCAGATTCGGGTACTCCCAGCGCTTCTAAAATTAGTGGTTTTATCTCTTTTTCGCAGCTATCTCCCTCTTCAAAAATTAGCATCACTGCAAAAGTGGTTGGCATTCCTGCAGGTCAACATGGATGGCATGTTCACGCCAAAGGCAACACCTATCCCAATTGTTCATCTGCAGGACCTCATTGGAATCCCCTTGGTGTAGATCATGGAGCACCCAGCGCAGCCGTTCGTCATATGGGAGACTTTGGCAACTTTAACGCGACAGATGATGGTACCTTTAGTGTAACGATCACAGATTCCATGGCGACGCTTTATGGACCAAACAGTATTCTTGGTCGGGCACTTGTACTTCATGCAGGAGTGGATGACCTTGGATTGACAGATAACCCGCTTTCCAAAACAACTGGCAACGCAGGTGCTCGTCTTGCTTGTGGTGTGATTGGATATCAGTAATTAAACTGTTTATTTGGTGTATCGACTGAAAAGAGCCGTATATCAATATATCATGTAGCCGTACTTTGTTTAAAACGGATTTGAAAATCAATAAATTGACTTGACATTCCAACTCAACCTATTCAAACTAGATTAGTAATTTTTGGGTTCATTTGGTGAGAATACTGTCAATGCAAGAGTTGATATTGGGCTTGACGTATATTGTCGGTTGAAACCCATTGAAAGCTTATTCAATCAAAAAAGGTCAAGTCCATCACAATGATTTAGGGTTAGGAACAAAATGGTTTAATCTGAAACAAGTGGCAAGTGTCAAAGAATTGGCCCAACCATGTCAGATATTGACTTGAAGATGGGAAACAATATACTTTTTTCAAAATATGCTTCTAAATACAGTTTCAGATAAACAATGTTACCCAGAGATAGGGCCAACATTGTGTTTTCAATAGAAACCTGTACAATGATTTTGGTATGATTGTGAAAACACAAGACTCATCACAAGGCACAAAGGCACGCCCTCTCCATCATCATAGCAGTACGCCCTCAAACATCAAGGTTAAAAGTGAGCGCCCTGATGCTAAGCGGCGTTAGATTCAAAGATTCGCACTGGTTTCATATAAAACAAGGCAATTGTCCTTCACACCTACTTTTACCCTTGAACCCAACCCATCTGTGGCTTTCTTACTGTCGCTACTGCTGTTCATATTACAACCTATCCCACTCAACAATGTCCTCCGGTCCTATCAGTGATCAAGTCAAGGATGCCGTGTCTACTACTGTAGACACTGTTACTGAGGCAGGTGCTACTGCTGCCACCAAAGCCAAAACCTATGTCGATGAGACTGTTGCTGAGACCTGCAAGGCCAGCACTGGCACTAATGACAATCCAGTTGAAAAGCTCAAGCGATTGCTTTCCTTCCCAAACAAAAACAAGGGCAGTAAGCCTGTTGAAGCAGCAACCCCTTCTGATGAGGAGACTCATGCCACTAGTGCTCCTACCCAAGGTTCCGAACCTGACGCTCCTTGCTCTCCTACCCGCACTACTGCCAGTCCTCCTCCTGCTGAGAAGAAGCGTAATTCGTTCAACCCCTTTTCTTGGGGCAAACCAGCTGCTGCCCCTGCTACCGAGGCTCCTACCGAGACTACTGCTTCTGCTACAGAGACTCCTACAGAGACTCCTGCCGAAGCTTCTGCCGAAGCTTCTGCTGAAGTGCAATCCACTCCACCACCCTCGGAGACTCCTGAGCCTGCGAGCACTACTGCCACTCCCAAGTCTGAGAAGCGCCGCACATTTACATTCTTCTCAAAGAAGCCTTCTTCTGAACCTGCCTCCACATCTCCCATCGATTGTCCAGAAAAGTCTACCAGTGACTCTGAGGATAGAAAGAACTCTATAGGCAACATATTCTCTGGTCTATACAAGAAAAAGGTATGTTGGACTTTATTATGCTACCGTTCATGTGAATCGTCTTGTTTCCATTGGAATGGAGGGCTGCGCCTCTCAATGTCATCGTCATCCGTGGCGGCAATTAGTCCCACGTGATGGTTGCATTGTGAATCCACACGTGGTCAATTGTTATGTTGGTGATTAAACTATTGATTTCTTGTTCATGTTATAGGCTACCACTCCTGTTCCTACCACCGACACTGTTACTGATGCCACCCCCAATGCTTCTGGTGAACCTTCTGTAAGTGCTGAGGCTGCTCAAGCCGTTCAAGAGGCTATTGACGCAGTTGCTGCCGCTGATGCTGCTGAAGCTGCTACAAAGGCTGAAGCTGCTGCTGCCGAGGCTGCTGCAAAGGCAGAGGCGGAAGCTGCAGAGGCTGCTACAAAGGCTGAGGCTGCTGCTGCCGAGGCTGCCGCAAAGGCAGAGGCAGAGGCTGCTGAAGCTGCTGCAAAGGCCGAAGCTGAAGCAAAGGCAGAAGCAGAGGCTGCTGCTGCAGAAGCTGCCGCAAAGGCAGAGGCAGAAGCTACAGAGGCTGCTGCAAAGGCAGAAGCTGAAGCAAAGGAAAAGGCAGAGGCTACTGCAAAGACTGCAACCACAGAGGCTACTGCAGCTGCAACCACAGAAGCTGCTGCAACAGAAACCACAGAGGCTGCTGCTTCTGGAGTCTCATCAGGAGCAGAGGCTCCAGCCAAATCTTCCAGCAAGATATTTTCATTCTTGACATTTGGCAGAAAGTCCAAGTCTGCCGTTTCTACTCCATCTACTACATCGGTGGCTACTGGAGAAGGTGCACCCACTGTCATTGAAGAGTTGGAGGCTGTTACCGAAGAAAACACCACTGTTGTTGAAGAAAATACTGATGTTGTTGAAGAAGTCGGTTCTATTGAGCAGATCAAGGAAACTATTTCCGAGAAAGTGGAAACTGTTACTGAAAAAGTCGAAGCCTGCACTAGTGCTGCTAAAGAGGCTGCAGGTAATGTTCTTGATATAAAAGATCAAGCTCCAGGGACTACGGTTGATGCCGTGACAAAGAAAGTTACCGAGGCCATCAATACTGAAGGTGAATCTAAGAAGGAAAATACTTTTTCCCTTTTAAAGTTCTTCAAGGGCAAAAAGTCGTTGTTTGCAAAGAATGCAGAGGTTGAGTTACCCGCAGCTGCTCCAGTTACTGGAACAACTGCACCGGCGATTGCAGTTTAATTTGGTATTTGGGCATGTTTTTTGTTTTGCCTTGAGTAGAGCGGTAGTGAATCTAGCATGATTTGAACAAAGGATCAGAAAGCTGATCATGTTCGGTAATTGCACTGAGCAAAATAGCACTTTGCAGTGTGGAGGTTTGAATGAATTCTATTTGTTTTGTTTTATTTTTACGGTCATCAACAATAAGAAGATTTGGGTTTTAATTTGATAGTATCGAGATGGTTGCGATAGTTTAAAAACGTAAATGATTCGTTTGATTCATATAAACTACATAGATTGAAGACTTGACAGGATCAATACCAGACTCAGCAAGCAGTCTTTACTAGACAAGAAACATTGAATCGAGGATTGACAAGTCGTTTAAACTGATCGCGATGAGACACTTGACAATCTGATTGTCTCGGCTGTGATTGCAAGCCAAATTTTGTCAAATGCAAAGTCACGGGAATCATGTGATGCAAACAGTTAATAAACACCAGCAAACAGTTGTATTCAAGTATTGACAAGTATGGAGGACAGTGTACATACTGCCCAAAACATGGATGTCTTGGATCATACAGAACCATCACATATAGTGTCTGATATACCATCACAAACTAAACAAACCTGTCATGTCACTTCAACTGAAACTACATTGTTGGAGTCTGCCAATGATAATATGGAGGATGTTGGTCAGTCTAGCCAAGCTGCTGCTCTTCCTTCCACCACTTCATACTCTTTTACTGCCACATCTCTGAGACAAAGGCATGTCCCACTGAGAGAATCAATTCTGCCAGGTAAATTCTATGATCAATACAGTATACAACCAAGGGTTCGAGTTGGATGGGTCAAACATTTCATTTATAAACTTGTCTAACATGTTGAGCTCATTGTGTAGATACAAGAAATCATGGTGTCGGTATGAACTCAAATGCATACCCTTCTCAATCAACGTCTCCAGTTCGTCCCTCAAACTCCACTGAGCCTTTATCTGAAACCAAACCAGATCAAAATGACCAAGACGCTGATCAAGGAGGCTTATTTGAATGCAACATTTGGCAAGTTGTGATAGTGTATGGTTTGAATGACTTGCATCAATTTGCTAATTATTCAATCCCGTTTCCATCTTGGTAACATCAAACAGCCTCGATATGGCCTCGGATCCTGTAGTTACACTATGTGGCCATTTATTCTGCTGGTCTTGGTCAGTGCCTTTGGTTTCAAAAGTGTCCTTATTGGGTTTGATGTTTACTTTGAATGCTCTTGTCTAATCCATTTGCACTTTAAATAGCCTTCACCAATGGTTATCGTCGCGTCTTTCTGCCTCAAACACATGCCCGGTCTGTAAAGCTGGTGTCGATAGGGATAAAGTCATTCCAATATATGTGCGAGGGCGTGAACCAAAAGATCCTCGAGTCAGCAAAGAGGTTCCCAACAGACCACCTGGCCAACGAACAGAGCCAGTGTCAAACAATCCATGGGATTTTGGAGGATTTTTTGGTCCAGGTCGTGTCAATTTTGGAAACACACAGCTTGGATTTGGCATGATGCCATTTGGAATTCAATTTGTAAGTTTTAAAAATCAATCAAGTTGAATGCCATGAACTGCAATCGCAGATGTATTGGTTAGACTAGTAGAATCCAAACTAATATTTGAACCACAATGTTTTGCAATGCACACACTGTCATGTATATTGAATAACAGAGTTTTGGTCAGGGTATAAATAACCACAACTTTCATGCTGGCCCACAAGGCGTAAATCAAGGTGGTGCATTGGATCATTCACAGCGACTTCAAGCGTTTGTATCTCGACTGTTTCTTATGATTGCTACACTTGTTCTTATTTCTATTATTTTGTATTAAACTGTTTAGTTGTGAGGTTTGAAATGTCATATGGGTTGTTTTATAGTTGAAAAATGAAATGTGTCATTAGCTTTATAGTTTGGAAAATCCAACCTGTGACTCTGTCTAGATGCACTCGTTTATTTTTCAGATAAAATGCCTGATGTTGATATCTTTGGTTCCCAAAATGCAGGGCTAGTATGATTGGCTGGTGTAGCAGCCATCTCTTCAACTTCGGTCAAATCTGACATGCGCAGAGGTATTAGTCTCCGAGGAGGTTTTTGAGACTGTAGTTTTATATCCAAAACATCACTACTGCTTAATCGTGAATCTGGTCTATGAAGCAATATACCTGTGTTGACTCGATTGATATTGGGCTCTTTTGGCAGTGTAACTGAACTGCTCGCATTATTTTGAAGAGGATCAGGGTTGGATGCAGACATGTCAGGATTTAGAGAAAAAAGCTGCTCGGCTAAACTAAGACCAGTGTGCTTTTCATTACAATATAAAGCAGAAACATTGCTTTTTTTGGCTTGGTCCACAGCATGCATGTCCGAGATACCTTTCAAATCATTCAGATTTATGCTAGATTTTAAAGATTGTCTAGATTCGGTTGATATGTTTGAACAGGCTAAATCATTAAACTCTAATTTTTTTGCGCCATCTGCTTGACTTTCAAGATTGTCTAGGGATGCAAGGTTGGATTGCAATATCGTATCTGCCCGCTGACTCTGCATCAAATCAATGGATGAATGAATGTCATGTGTCGAAATTAAATGTCTAGTAATTGAAGTTTTAAAATCCTTTGATGCTGAGCAGGAATTATGCAAAGATTGCAGAGTGGAATCCGTAGGTTTAAAAACGGGTGCGTTGAAGTGAGGAGAAATGTATCCATCATCACTGTAGTTACTTGTACCGTTTTCTGTACTTTTAGTATCCAGCTCATCCAAATCAGACTCGTGAATGCTTTCAAAGTCTGTTTTCCAAGTGCTGAGAGGTATAACCTTGTCTTTCATGGCAGGAGTTTGAATGATGGACGAGCGTCGCGACTGTCGAATGATGGACTGACTAATATGCTCTAGCTCGCGTGTTTCTTCCGTATCAGGCTTCAATCTCCATGCATTCTTACTTTCTACAGGTATTTGTGAAGCACCATGAATACTAGAAAAACTCGATGCAAAACTCGAATTCATCTCACTGGTATCCGAATTGGACGAGTTGAGATGTGACTCAAAGTTTTGATCGCATTTTGCTTTGTTTAAAGTTTCAGTCGTATTGTTTAAAGCCATACTGGGCATTCTGTCTTGACTTTGCACAGCAACATCCACTGAAATAAAGTGTAATGTTGAATACAATAGTTTAGATACATTTTGTATATTAGTGCAAAATCATTGTTTAAACCTCTTGCATCATTTGAAAATAGTGTCGAGACTGGATGACTTACCAAGTGGACAAATGTTTTTTGCAGATAATGGAATATCCTCATTTTTTTGTGGTTTATCAAAACTGGCTTGCTCCATCAATTCCGATTGAGCCACTTTATCAAGAAGTCGAGCCGATTGATTCTTGTAACGCACCACTAGACTTGCCATTTGAAGTAAAGAATCGGTACGATTCTGAGCTGAAGACTACATACATAGGTTGAGTTGGATATAAACCATATTGAGGTAGCATCAAATACCTACTTTGTCTCTATGGGTGTCTTGAACTCGTTCACTCCAAAATTTATTTGCTGCGTCAGATGTAGCTATTTGCATGCGTAGCGCATTGAGTGGAGGGATCGATTTTGCTGTGTTAAAGTTGGACATCAACTAGTTTAAAGTGTTAGTAACCTAATTGGGCTATAAGACGTGCATAAAGATTGCATCACTTTTGACTAGGACAAAGTAGAAATGGCATGTGTTTTACCCGTCCACGAGCGAATTGATTTTTGGATTTTATGGGCTGAGGCTCATCATTATGTATAGATGAGTGCTGTTTTAGTGGTGATGTTGTATGACTTTCTTTCCAAACAGATTTGTTATCTTTGACAAATGCAGATGCTTTAGAATGCATTTTACCAGACACAAAATCTTCATCTATACAATCAAAGATTTGACCATGTTTTTCTTTGGATACTTTTTGATACCAACGAGCTAATTTCCATTCTTGTGGTATTGGATTGTATCCCACCGAGTTGGATGTATTATGCTGACGAGTCTATAAAGCATAATCAAAACGCCAGTCGTTCAACAACATTAGCACACCATCTCCCAAATACATGGATGTAAAATCACCTTTGCAATTGGAGTATGCGCATTGACTGTTAAATCGGTGCGATGATGTAGCAAATCGAGTCGTTTTCGAGACTCGAGAGCATGAGCAGAAACCTCGTTCCATTTTTGTTCACGATACAATTTTCTTTTTCTTTCCAGTAATTCGAGCACCTGTTCCGCTCGCTATATTGGTGATTTTAAACCATGAGTGGATCAAATTTGAACGCATTGAATTGTTTTTTTCCAAATATGCAAGGTGTATTGCCTACTTGAAACAATAACGCTCAAAAACTTACTTGCATTCGTGCATCTTCATGTATGGCTCGAGTGATCATCGATCCAGGAGCTCGAACTCCATGTTTTAAATTAGAATCGATTTTGGCTTTTACCAAATTAATTCTATCAGCATCAATTTGGTTCAGATAGCATTTAGTTTTGCTAGATTGACTCGAGATTAATAAAACTATTACTTGTACCTTTTTTTGAAATTTTTCTGCAGTATATTTATGGGTGGATCGATCTGAGGGTTGAAATGACCATTATGTTGTTTGATGGTGGACTGAGACGGCAGCTCAATAACAGGCTTGATTTCAGTAGCATCCTGCTCATTGTTTGGATGATCTCCAGTATAATGAGTCTACATATTCATGACAAGTTAGTTGTATTGAAAAAATAGGTACATGACTCGAAATCATCACAAGCTATTTGAATGATTCACTTGCTGTATATGTCGATTCATCTATTTGTTTTTGTAGTGAATCTGGTACTACTTTGGGTGTTTTGTACTCGGCCAATTGGTTGATATGCGTCAGAGTATTTTCGTCAAATACAGGCTCGTGAGCAAAAAGTGCGAATCCATCTCGTGGCAAATCAATATATGCTTTTAGAGCAGTTCCAGCAGAAAGTGATGATGCCATGGCATAGCTTCTTGCTTTGAGTGCTAGCGAGACTAATACAGCTCTATCAGTCAGTTGTGACTGTCGAGGCGTGATTGGTATCCAAGGCGCGAACACTGAAGGAATGTCAGGTTCTGTTATGGCTTGATTAGAGTGGGTACATACTAAACCATCTGAACCGACTGTAGAATTTTTAGACATTTCTATCAAACATCCTGCATTAAGATTGGTATTTTCGCTTTGTCGCTTCCTCGTCATTATCTGCCTGTTTGCTAAAATACTAGAATACTGGAGGGAAATTTGCAGTTATTGACAAAATAACACGCAAGTGCCAAGCCTATTAACAGGTGTACTTTAAAAAAAGCAGTCAATCTGTAATAGGAAAACAAGAAATACTCGATCATCGCTTATTCCAAGACAATCATTGCAAGATAAATACAAGTGTTTCATTTTACGTGAATACGACTGTAAAATCGTTTTTGAATAACATTTTCCAGAGAAATGATATAGTTTAAAGCTGAATGGTTTCTCCATTGCAATCCAGCTCAAAGATAACACTGTTCCAGCAGCCACTTGCTGGAATATGATGTCCCTTGAAGCGTACATTCCCCACTGCTTGACTTCCTTGCAAGGTAAATGAATAGTCGGCAACTCCTCTAATCACATTGAAAGTTCCTTGAACTGGTTTATGAAGTTCTTGATCATAGAATATGTCGTCTCCAAGAAGAGCCAGGGCTCTTGGATCATGTCGGAGATGGAACATGACACCTTTGAAGATGCTGTTGTGAGACTTGTTTGAGTTGGTAGCATTGATGATAGTGTATGCCCAAAAACTCAATCCAGCAGCACCGAGTCCAACGTAGACAGCCGGCCTGTTTATCACTCGAACAATAAAGCCAGGCGTGCGGAATGCCATCGAGTCAGTCTTGGCGATGCTGATCGCAACACTCGGCTGCTGTAATGCAATGAATTGATCATCCCGTGTTCCTGAGGGTGTGGTTCATGTCTTGTATAAATTCACGTTTTTTTCTTTCTTTTCTTTCAAACTTCATTTTGGTTTCTTCTAAATTCCATTGTTTTCCTAGATTCCTGCCCAAGTTGTTGGGCTTTGTATTCCGATCATGGTTTTTGATCCCCTCTCTCTACGCACCATTGATGACATACCAAATGACTCTGCTTTGATTTCTGATCATTCAGCCCACACTCAATCTTTTGGTGCTATAGACCCAGACTCTTCAGACGATGAGGACATTGTCAAAAAGGGAAAGAAAAGTCGAGCACTTGATCCATCCTTTACATTTTCCTCTGAAATTTCACTTCCTATTGCTTCCTCAAAAAACTGGGATTTTGGATTGTCTCGTCAGGCACTTTCTGCCAAAGCGCTTTTGCGTGCACAGGGAAAGACTTCGATTGACGAAAAAATTCTCAAAAGTCTCGGTACAATCGATCAAGATCTTGCTACCGATGTTCTTGCCCTGAAAAATATAGACGGTGTGGCAGACGATGAAGTACCTGATAACGTTTCTGGTGAATCAGATGAAGAAAAAACCTCGGACAATGACGAGGCTTTGGTGAACCCGTATTTTGACATCAACGAGCCAGAGGACATTGTGAAGGATAAAAGCAAAGCCGAATTTTTCGATCTAGAGTCGGACAAGCCAGAGCATCGTGAGATTACCGAATCTTTTCAGTCTTTGCAACTATCCAGACCTGTTCTTAAAAGTATTGCTGCGTTGGGTTATGTTCGTCCTACTGATATTCAGGCTCGTGCTATTCCACTAGCACTGCAAGGCAGAGACATTTGTGGTTCTGCTGTAACGGGATCTGGAAAAACTGCTGCGTTCATTATCCCAATTGTAGAGCGTTTACTGTTTCGTCCAAAAAATGATGCTACTACTCGAGTGCTTATTCTGGTGCCTACTCGTGAATTGGGTGTACAGTGCCAGTCTGTTGCAATTAGTATTTCAAAGTTTACAGATATATCTACTTGTCTTTGTGTTGGTACGTATGCAACTTTCAACTGAAACGTGTTTATAGACTCTTGCTAACAATTGCTTTTGTCGTGTTCAGGTGGTTTGCCAACCAAAACTCAAGAAGCAGAGTTGAGATTGAGACCCGATATTATTATTGCTACTCCTGGTCGACTTATTGATCACATTCATAATTCACCGTCTTTCTTTCTTGATGCGATTGATATTTTGGTGATTGACGAGGCTGATCGTATTCTTGACGATGGATTTGACGCTGAGCTCAATGAGATCATTAAACATACTCCTAGAACTAGACAAACTATGCTTTTTTCTGCTACCATGACTGACAATGTGGATGATTTAATTAAACTGTCCTTGAATCGTCCTGTGCGTTTGTTTGTGGATCAAAATACTAAACTGACCAACAGACTTGTTCAGGAATTTATTCGTGTGCGAGGCCATAAAGAGACTAGTCGTCCTGCCATTTTAGCAGCTCTCTGTTCTCGTACCTACACATCCGAGACTATTGTTTTTTTCCGTAGTAAGGCTGCTGCCCATCACATGAAGATTATATTTGGATTTCTGGGGCTAAAGGCTGCAGAGCTTCATGGTAATCTGACGCAGCTTCAACGACTAGAGGCTCTTGAGCTGTTTCGTGAAAAAAAGGTTGGATTTCTGCTGGCTACGGATCTAGCTTCTCGTGGTCTTGATATCTCTGGAGTGAAAACTGTAATCAACTATGATATGCCCAAAAGCTATTCCATCTATGTTCATCGCGTTGGTCGTACTGCTCGTGGAGATTTGGCAGGACGTGCCGTGAGTCTTGTTGGTGAAGCTGATCGTGCGCTGCTAAAAATGGCTATTAAAAACACACGAGATGCTGTCAAAAATCGTATTGTTCCTGCCAATGTCGTTGAAAAGTATGAAGGCATTTTGGCAAAGCTAAAGGATTCCATCAAGGAAATTTATATCGAAGAAAAGGAAGAAAAGGAGCTTTCAAGCGCTGAACTGCAGATTACTCGTGCCCAAAATATTCTTGGTCATCAAGATGAGATCATGTCACGTCCTGCCCGAACGTGGTTTCAGTCTGAGAAAGAGCGTACTGATTCCAAAGGTATGTTGTGGGTCGATATGCTTTGGGTTGTGCATCTTTAATTGACTGTTGCTCATTACATTCTTGAATCTTAGATCTTGACATGGAATCTGCTCAACCTGAACCACTTCCAAACACGGTAAAACGGCGGTTTCCAAATACTGACTCTAAAAAGGTGATTATTGAATTGTTTTTAATGTGTAATAAGTGGGATACTGGCGATGATGAACACCTATCAGACCTGTTCCGAACAGTATATGTTGGACAAAAAGATATTGCCTAAACACGTGAGCCATTCTGTATCCCTCTTATTACCATCGAATCTTGCAATTTGTCAAATATACTACGATTTTTATTGACATTGTGTTTTGCCACGTTTTAGTCTGAGCATGGCCCAATGGATGGTCTTTCTAGAAAGAAAAGACGTATGAAAGAGGCCCGCGAGGAGGATAAGCAAGTCATTTCGGCTCAGCGCAAGTCTGTAAAGGCTGTCAAGGCCGCTGCACGTCCCAAAAAGATCTCACATGTACGCGATTCTACCCAACACACCACGAAACAAACTGGAAAAGGTTCTTCGTTTGCAAAAGAAATCTATGGTGGTTCAAAAAAGGGTTCTTTAAAGCGCAACAAGTAGTTTATTTATTTTCACATGTCTGCTCACCCAGTATTAATGTCTGGGTTTCAAGTGCTGCCAAACTACTCGCGCAAGTGGACTACATCAAGAACACTCGTCAATATTTATACTCTACATATATACTTATAATCAAATACATGTTTTTTCATCCTGCATTTTTCCACTCAACTGTCTCTTAGAATATCTTTTTTAGTAATGATGCCAAGCAGCTGTCCATTTCTGGTTACTAGTACATATCGAAGACCCATTTTTTTGAAAAGCTCTACCAGCATATCGATTGGGAATTTCGGGTGTATCTTTACGCTAAAAGTATCGGCATTGATCATCAGTCAATGTTACTCGAAAATAATCGATTCAGACAAAACTCACGGTGTGTAATCAACCCATTGGCGAAAGTCGATGGCAGGCAGAGAATCGTCCAACGCCAACATATCCGTAAAAATACCTAGACTATTACCGACTACATCGCTCTCCGCCTTGGCTTTTTCTATTTGCACCAAAATCGATATCAATACATCACACTGGAAAAAGTCCAACAATGACTTTCTAGCCATCTCGATTTCATTGCGATGCCTAAATCAACTACAGTGATAATATAAACAAGCTTACCTATTGCAAATTGGAGTTCTGCGCGTCCAATGTATCCAATAGTGAGTGAACCTTGTGGTTTAACAACAGGGAATCCTTTAACTTTGGTAGAAGCCAGTAGCTCTTCTGTAATACATGCATCGTGAAACACAGGTAAGGACGTTGAAGGGTAAATACATTATTTTTAAACAACTATTACAGCGTACCAAGACTGCCCATAGTGTGTCCAGTTGCAGATATCGTCTCAATATCTTCCAGTCTTGTCATCAGATTTGCCGCCGACGTCGTGTGTGTGTACTCTTCATTGGGATTAAGAAAAGGGTATCCATTGAGAGTAATAAGACACTCATAAATGCCATGCTTTCCATATATATCACTAACCCATTTAGCAACAAGCGCAGTGATCATAATAGGCAAGACTACAATATGCGTCAAAATAAAGTGAACTCTTCCTAGTTAGCAGAGTCAATATAAAGTGGATGCTGCAAATGGTCATACCATAAGAAAGGGCTCCAGTAAGCTCAAACATGATCACTGTCAATGATACAGACATTCTAGTGACTCCAGCAAGACTGGCTGCCGCGCCTACCACTAATAAAAAGTTATTTCAAATATTAGCACATGTATGTTCGATACACAAATCGGCTGCTGGAAGCTCATTAGAACGGCTTGGTTGAACAAAATTGGCAACTTACTTGCATAAGTTCCAGGTGTCACACATTCAGCACCAGCACTAGCCCGCTTACAAGATGTAAATATCCACAAATCCGGCATGATCCTAACAGCAAGAGAGCCAGATACATAACTCGATCAGCTCAACACGTAATCTAAATCCAATCTCTTATTTTTAAAAAAAAGCAATATACCTTTGCCATGATTGAACCGCAATTCCCAAGGCTCGTCCAACATATGCCCCAATTGCCATGGATGGAAGACTAATGGTAATACGTATACCATCCAAATGTTAAAACAGTCATGATTGCTTTCAAGATACACAACCCTGAACATCAAACAATCTTACAAGATACCAGCAGGAATTCTCATTCCAAAAGTGATTACAGTCAATAGAATTTTTAACAGTGCTGCAAGCAATAGTAATGGTATGATTGTGCCAATTTGAGATGCATTGCAAAGTCCGTAAGAATCAGTTTCAACTTCAGAGCACTCGCGAAATAGATTCGAAACAAGTTCGGCAGAATTCTCTCTAAATATACATTGGTTTTATTCAGTCAGAAAATACTCAAATCACTGTAGAAATACTGTTTGGATCGTAAATACTTACCGCAAAAATGTAAATGGAAATGATAGAAGCGACGTAAATAATGCAACAACTGCTACTTCTGGAATTGCCCATTCTTTAAGCCAGCCTGTTTTGCGAAATGAATTATACATGATGTTCTAAAGTAATGATGCAATTAATATGATACATGGTGTTGAGCAGAAACACAACATGATGTATAGGCTATTTTACGGCTTAATAAATCTACCAAACGCTTACCAATCGAATGAAAAATGCACCATAGAATCCCTAAAATCGAGTCATTTGGTCCATTGTTAAACTTTTAAAATAAACTTGATGCTAATCAACAATGTCACATACCCCAAGAATTCCAAGAAGTATAAAAAACGGCAGTTCAAAAAAATGCCAGTCTCGATTGTACGTCACTTGGAATAAAACCAACTTCCCTGTCCTAAATGGATTAACGAGTTGAAGTGAAATGGCAGCAATCATTGCCATAAAAAACGATCGCCACATTGTTTTATATGGGAAATAGTAGGACACTTCCTGCAAGTGTCAAAACATTTAGTAAGCAAGCCAATAAAAAGAACCAACCAGTATAAAAGGTATCTTTATATACCTCGAGTGAAAACAAAACTCCTCCTATTGGTGCTCCAAAAGCAACCGACACACCTGCTGCACATGCCGCGCTCTATCCAACACATGGTTACAATGTTCAATACAGCAATTTAGCATGGATCATGTTTGAAATTAAGCCGAGTAAATACCAATAGTCCACGCCTCTTGGCCTCGTTGTGCCGATATTTTTTTACAAAACTAGATAAAATATTTCCAACGCAGCAGGCAACATGCACCAAAGGACCTTCTTTTCCTACAGACAGTCCCGACGCAACCGAAAGTACTAGCCCAAGGCATTTGACTACAAGCGTCCAGACCCCCAAAAAATTTCTAATCACAAATCCTCCAAGAATTGTCTTGACCTCTGGGATACCCGATCCTGCAGCATATCTAAAAATATTTTAATGCATATTATTAAAACGTCACTATATTGCTAATGAAACACAAATCTCTTTGAATCAAACACATACGGAGCATATTGCTTTACGAGAATAGCACTGGTAACAGCAAATATAATTGCCGTAATTATATAGCAGAGATATTCGACACCCCATGGCCAATACTCTCCAGATGGTATACTCCATTGTACCCACTCGATACATTTTCCAGGTCCTTGAAAATGTACAGCAAAAAGCATAAGATACGTGTTAATATTAGGAACAGATGAAATTGCACGAGTGTCTAGTTTACGTCAGTTGAATGATTGGCCATCTGGACCTATATCCAAAAGCATGATATACAATACCTGGAGTAAGCCAGCAGCAAAATCGCTTATTCAGGTAAAATCCAGCAGAGCAGTATCCATTGCGAATATCGCTTAGCCATTGCTCAGATATATCAATAAATCCAGCAAGCCAGCCTGTTATCGCACCTATAAAATGTATTCAAGAAATCGTACCATATAGTATACACATTGAACTGGTTACTATGATATTGGATATCACACGCATCAATAATCTAATACAACTATATATACCAATAGTTAAAATCAAAACCCAGGTTTGGCCAGCGTCCCAAAAGCGTACAATAATGCCCCAAATACCAGCAAGCTTATGCAGATTGCTGATTCGAGATCGTTCTGTATAATTCAAATCAACCATTAGTTTAAACCAAAAACGGTACTGTTAAACACGCATACCTTTTGTAGAGTCATGTATCCAATCTAAAAAGCATCACAATAATGGCATGATGAGCTTGATTACCATTTAAACCAAAATAGTCTATGCAGAATCCAATAAAGAATATTACCAATTGTCGTGAAATTCCCATAAACAACTCGAAGTCCTGCTCCAACAGAAGTTTGTGTTTTAAATTCCTTTCAAATTAAACACAATTCCAAAACAGATTTTAGCAATCCTTAAAAGTATGCAATCATGCATGACTAATATAATGTCGATTCAACATACTGGCGTTGGTTTTAATGGCTGTCCAATTGATGTGGATAACGAGCTTTTAGACTGACGATGAAAACGACCATTTTTAAAATCGTTGGTAAATCGTTCAACAGGAGTATATTCCATTCTAGTGCGATTTCGGGATGCTGCCTCGTTGGGAACAGATCTACACTCGACATTGATGATTGAATGCATTGAGCATGTGCATCATATTTCAGCAAATATTCCAGAGTCAATCAGCAGAATACCAACAAGAACAGTTACAACAACTGTTCAAACATCCTGTCCTTGATCCAAGCATATAAATTAAAACTCACAAAACCGAACCTGACCCTAGATTGGGCCATGAAGAAGCTCCTGCATCCATTCCAGTAACTGGTTGTTGTAACAGCTTTGATTTTGAGTTGCTACCTGAACTATAATCGAACATATCAACTGCTCCAGAATTTGAATACATTCCATCAACTGCTCCAAAACTTGAATGCATTCCATCAATTGCTTGATCAGCTTGAGATGAGCCAGCAATATGACTAGAATTGTCATTCTGAGCAACAGATATCAACTCATCATTGGCACAGTGCATGTCTTGGTCTGACATTTCCTGTATAACCCAATGCAGTCGAGTTGCTTGTCAAATATGTACTTGTTGGCAAGAAATAAAACCTTGTTTTCAATTCTTGATTCCAAACAGGAAATAGTCGGCGTATCGACTACTGTTGTATAGTCAATGCATTGATATTCTATTCCTGTTGCCATACATCACATTTACAAATCAAATCTAGAATATATATTCAAATCAACGAGTCTATAAGTTCAAACAAGTACAAAAATTCATAGATGGAAGCTACAAATATGCTTCAATAGCTTTTATCTTTCAACTTTCCCAATAGTCTGACTTGTATTTGACATTGAATAGATCGACTTTTCTCGCGTCTAATCTTGCCCAAATCAAAATACTTTTGAATATGTTTGGATCTGGATTTATTAGTCCTTCTCTATTTAAAAGAGAGGAGCATATCCAAGTTGCTCGAAGAGAGTCTCAGCGTAACCTTCGAGATTTACGTAGAGACCGAGAGGATTTGGAACGACGAGAGCGACAGCAGGTTGGTGTTTTCATGGCAGCTTTCAAGAACAACTGCTTGCTTTATAAACCGCTTTGCAATCTGTAGTTGCATTGGTAGTCTTTTTTATAATCTACTTGTTTAATCCACCTGCTAATTTTTGCATTTTATTATCATTTATTTTGAACCATCTGTCTTGTAACCATTTTCATTCTAAAAAGATGGCTCAACTCAAGTCGCTTGTGAAAAAAGGTGATTTTCCAAAAGCTAATCTACTAGCTCGACAGATTGCTCTGTATCGAAATCTTGCAGATAAAAATTTTGAGCGGGGAATATCAATCCAAACTGAAGTTCAGGTGCAGCAGCCTTTCTTGAAAGCTGTTGAAATATTTGTATCCCATCATGAATCTAACGTCGTGTCTTAGATGATGCTATCTAATCAAAAAATCAATCGAGCACACGCTGAATCTATAAAAGCAAGTGATTTTTGCTTGTCAATGATTGATCTTGTCTTTATATTTACATGGCGTGTGATCCTATTTGACTTGATACTCTCCATATCTTTAGGGACTTCGACATGGAAACTCGGGAAATACAATAGAAATAGTTCGGCAGCGTGAGCAAAAATATGAGTCGAGAATGGAAGAGTACGAAACAATAGAGAGTATCAGTAAGTAATGTGCAGTATCATGGGTAAATCGTGCTACTGAGATATATTGACATTTTTTAAAAGTGAATGAAGGATTTGATGATATTTATGAACATGTTACTCTTCGCAAAGATCAGCCAAACCGTTTTGACGATCAAGTCGAAGGCGTGTTTCGAGAAGCTTTGGATCCTAAAACCAAAATGTGTAGAGACCATGCTATACAAAACACCCCAAACGGCAAGGTGATCTTTTCAACTTTACAATCCAATATATATTTTGCTGGCATGTCAAAATTAAATCAACAGCTAAAACTTTGTTTTTGGTATTCGATTCATCTACTCTTCTCGATGCATCTCAACAAATTCATCAAGATTTTAAATGGACGAGTGTTTTTGCACGTCAAGAACTTTAATCAGTTCATGACACAAAGCATATCTACTGCTACAGTGTTTCTTCCATCCTTGACTATTTCAGGAGATATTTTAAAGCAGTGTATTATGCAGGATAGAAAGGCTCTAAGAGCCTTACATCTTTTTGAAGCAACCGAGCATGGCGAAGTTATCTGCGACTTTCAAGTTGGGGAGTTGGTTAAATTCTTTGGAGATTTCTCCAACAGACAAAGTATGGATGTCAATGACGAAGATCAGGAACCCATCGCAACAACTTCACATAATACTTCGTATAAATTTGTATCGCTTGATCTTACTCAAACTCTCGAAAGTCTAGGATTGGTCAATGCTGGTATAATATGGGTGTATTCTCCAACTAAATAAATGTGAATGCATCTTCTATTTCACCATTTAAAATGATCTAGTCTACACATTGAGTGGTAATTAGATCTGATACTTGATACAAAACAGTTTGAATGCGGCTATATCAGGACGATTGTTTTATTGGTAAACCACTTTTACATTACAAAAAAGAAACCAACTCAAAATGAGTCAACTACAAAACGACAACGGCAGGACTCGAACCTGCGCCTTCAGAGAAGAATGCATTTCGAGTGCATCGCCTTAACCACTCGGCCACGTTGTCTGAAAAAAAGACGCGTTTTATGTTTAATATTTTTATCAAATTGTTTGACATGTATATTTAATTTTCAAATATACTATACACTTGCTTGAATCATACTGATCCAAAACTATCAAGTGTGACATTACTCCTAATACGCTTTTATCATCAAATCACAAAGTAACCTTTTATTCAAAAGAAAATAGTCAGGATTAGGGTTACCAAATCAGTCGAGGTCAGATGCAGCGAAAATTGAATGAACATGACATTGCTACTTTACAGAAAAAAATGGGTGTAAACTGCAAAATAGTCGCTTGGAAACTGAATTTTTAACAGCTCCATTCAGGCATCATCAATGATTCATTAGCGTCGATTTATTGAAGCTGCAAAGTATAATCAGTTGCTACTACTACGTCTGATGTTGGTCGACTTACTTCACTATCAACAGTAAAATCTCACAATTGTATCAGCAATCTGTTTACACAGCCGTATTCACATAAAATGCAATGTTAAGGGCTTCTAAATATATGATAAGCGGCTCATCTCATGTTTGATTGCTGCCAATCTTACTGAAAAACATTGTGTCATTCAATTCTTGAAAAAGTTTGCTGGTTTTTTGCTGTTCATTCTTGTACAAACATAAACCAAATACTCACATCGCATCCCTGTTTCAATACACTCCCACCCTTGACATCTTTTCAGTATCTAGTCTCCCTTTTTTCCAAAACAAATATTGGACGGCTGACATGGAATAACAGTTGCATTCCCAAGACGTTTTGAACTGCAACCCGAATATATCTGATGTCAGGATACAACAGAGCTTTTATACAAAAAGCAGTCAATCTGTAGTAGGAAAACAAGAAATACTCGACCATCGCTTATTCCAAGACAACCATTCAAGATAAATACAAGTTCCATTTTACATGAATATGGTGTTATAGCACGTGCTTTTTTGTTGGTTAGATGCTCTCCCATTGATGATCATTACGTTTGAGGTATATTGTAGTTGGTGCATGCTATCCCATCTTGGATAGTGCTTAGATATAACCCGTTGATCAGCCCTGATTTTCACCAAATCATGTGTATGCGTTATAGCAATCAATACATGATTCATTGACACAAATAGAAAGTTTAGCAAATAAACTCGATGATGATTAATAATCGTCCAATATATACATATACCAATTTATGGTATATTTCCTATGCAATTTGCGGTTTGTTTTCCAAACACATCTTTATCTCGATTGATTTTTGATTGTCAAAAATAGGATATCACCAGTGGAAAATATTAAAATCACTGCTATGCTCGCCCTAATTCCAGAGATGGACGAGGCTGTAAATACACAATCAGTTTGATTACAGCAGTCAAGAAAACTCGAAAGGGTTATCGGTGGTTGATAAACACTGACACAGGAATTTATGAGTGTTATTTCCAAGATTGAGATTTAGATACAATCAGTCAAGCCGTGCTAGCAGATACTTGATATACAGTTGAATTTCAAAAAGTTGTTTAAACCAAGACAATTATACTAGACACCCAATAGGCTATTGATCGACAGACTGAAAATACTAGCCTATACACGCCATTAAAGCTCCGCAATAATAAATGAGTTGCGGTAATTCTACCAAACCACAACAGGGCTACTGTGTGTCATAAAACAATCACACCTTGAAATATGCCGCAGCCTCATGGAAGATTACACCCTTTTAAAATTCAGGATGGATAACAGCCTTGAACACATATGTTCAACAAGTATAAATATCCCCAGTTGAATAGTCAAGTTACCATCCAATACCAACTCTTCATTCATCCTCCTACTACACCAGTCTTTGAAATGAAGTTGGTTGTTGTAGTTCTTGTTGCCATATCTTCAGCTATCGCTATCCCCACTATCCCCAATGCTAAGGAGGATACTGTGATTCTTGAGCGTCGTGGTGGTGGTGATGGAAAAGGAGATTTTCTTACTCCAAAGTGGGTCGTGCCGCAATCACAAAAAGCTGACGGATCGATCAAAAGAACTTCCATTCCACATTTGCCTTTTCCTGACCAAACCAACATAGTAAATAACCCCGATGACTCGAGATCTGTCGATACAACTCACGACTCGGATCCATCCCTCAAATTAACCTCTATTCTCTCATCAAATCCAAAAATGTATCCTAATGTAGTTATTGATAAACCCAGGCCGAAAAATCGGAAGTTGAAGGCAGAAAGTCACAATTTGAGCTTGAAGAAAAAAACACTCGACCGCGAAACTCTGAAAAATAATTTCAAAGGGACAAAACTTAAATGGGCAGATGGACGTCAAACAGGTTCAATGAATTGGGGTCCTGCGGATGGTCTCGAAGAAGTAAAGCTTATTCCGAAAATAGGTTATAGGCCTGTACCTAAACGTGATACATATGATTCAGGCGACTTTGAAGGCAATTCAGGCGAGCAATCGGACGATCATTTAGTCCCAGATGACTATCCACTACCGCATTATTCAAATGAACGACCTAGACATCGTCCAATCGCAGTTGATTACCCACCACCACCTAGTTCACACGAGCAATCTAGACATCGTCCAATCGCAGTTGATTATCCACCACCACCTAGTTCACACGAGCAATCTAGACATCGTCCAATCGCAGTTGATTACCCACCACCACCTAGTTCAAATGAACGACCTAGACATCGTCCAATTGCAGTTGATTATCCACCACCACCTAGTTCAAATGAACGACCTAGACATCGTCCAATCGCAGTTGATTACCCACCACCACCTAGTTCACACGAGCAATCTAGACATCGTCCAATTGCAGTTGATTATCCACCACCACCTAGTTCACACGAGCAATCTAGACATCGTCCAATCGCAGTTGATTACCCACCACCACCTAGTTCACACGAGCAATCTAGACATCGTCCAATCGCAGTTGATTACCCACCACCACCTAGTTCAAATGAACGACCTAGACATCGTCCAATTGCAGTTGATTATCCACCACCACCTAGTTCACACGAGCAATCTAGACATCGTCCAATTGCAGTTGATTATCCACCACCACCTAGTTCACACGAGCAATCTAGACATCGTCCAATTGCAGTTGATTACCCACCACCACCTAGTTCACACGAGCAATCTAGACATCGTCCAATTGCAGTTGATTATCCACCACCACCTAGTTCACACGAGCAATCTAGACATCGTCCAATCGCAGTTGATTATCCACCACCACCTAGTTCACACGAGCAATCTAGACATCGTCCAATTGCAGTTGATTATCCACCACCACCTAGTTCACACGAGCAATCTAGACATCGTCCAATCGCAGTTGATTATCCACCACCACCTAGTTCACACGAGCAATCTAGACATCGTCCAATCGCAGTTGATTACCCACCACCACCTAGTTCACACGAGCAATCTAGACATCGTCCAATCGCAGTTGATTATCCACCACCACCTAGTTCACACGAGCAATCTAGACATCGTCCAGTTTCGGATGATTATCTAGTACGTACTACAAGCGGAAGACTTAGACGTCCTTTAGTTTTAGTTGATCATCCACCACCACCTAGTTCAAACGAGAAGTCTGGACATGATTCAGTTCCAATTGATCATCCACCACCACCTAGTTCACACGAGGAATCTGGACGTGATTCCGCTCCAATTGATTATCCACTACGTAATTCAGATGAGCAATCTGAGCATCGTCCAACTCAAAGTGGTTGTCTACCACCTGGTTCAAGCGTGTTAGGCTCAATTAGAAAAGCACTGGGGGCATTCAAGGTATAAATTAATATTAACTAGGCTTTATAATATGAATACCCTATGATCATGTTAACTAACCTTTAAACAATTTTAGCCAAGCTGTATACCCTCTCATACATCTAGTGAAAATACTATCACATATGATTAAATTAGAATGCACCACAGCAATTATTGAAAGCCATCCTGGAATAAACACCAATCATTATCAACCACTTGTTCATGTTTTCTTGCATAGAGAGCCACAAGCCAACCTAAATAAATCATGTTGAATTGTATTCACATTACCAAGCCAAGGCTAATTCATTATACTCGAGTCCAGTGCTAGTTTTATTTGACAGCTTTAAATTATATTTATATTTTTGATACCTTTTATTCAGCAGAGGCTAACAGATTATACAAACAACTACAATGACCATAAATACATTGAACAAACGGTTTGGACATTGTTCAACTCCAAGCAGCCAATCCAGGTATTCGTTAGCAACTATTCATAGTAACTAGTTGTACTTTTCTACCCATTATTTTCTACTTTTTATTATTACAGTCTACCAATTTATTTATGATGAATACATTTCAACAGATTATGGTGCGCTAGACAGTGAAGCAACCATTCTACAACGATTAAAAACTCGTACACTCGTGTAATCTCCAGTGCAGTTTATTTTATCCGATCTACCAATCGACTGTATGATTACAGCCAATTAGCACGCCTTTTGTCATCTCCTACTTTGCTTATTAACCCAACCTAATGATTTCAATATTGAAATGAACAAACTATACTGCCAATTACTCCGATTACTCCATTTGTACCATTTGCCACATGTCGAGTATGTTGCTATATCATGTGGTTGTGTTGGTGTCGATACATATGAAACCATTCAGATTACAAACAGTATCATAGCATGATTGATATTGGTCATCAGCATGCACGCTATCAGTTCAAGTCATTGACATTACTGATCATGTATCCATTTTTGAGTACTCGGAGTCGATCATACTCGAGTCTCGTCTGAACATATGCAGAACATGCATACAGCCAATACAGCCGATACATCCCGAATCTGTCTGTAGTGTGATATACTTTTATGCTATGCCAAGCATCCCAATCTGACAACATGGCACAAGCTAGCTAAAAAGCTGCATAGTAGTTTAACCAATCTAAATCAATCTAAATCGAGTTGAAGTGAATTGAAGTGAGTTGAAGCGATATTCGCAAGTTTACAACACACATGAATTGCACATGGTAAACATGGCTTAGATTCAAATTCAATTCCTAGCTTGTAAATGACTGGATATCAACGGGTATTCATCCTACACTGTATAGTATATATTTCTTGAACCCACATTCACGCAGTCATCTTGATCAAAATCAACGCAGTAATGGACCCGCTTCACATGCATCGTTTGGATATGTGATATATCAACACATGTGCTTGATACTCGTGTGTTAATGCATCACATCACATGCACGTTTTAGTCAATTCGACACTACAGTGTCAATTCAAAATATAAACCATGTAATGCAGCCAACTCCATCGTCCCATATTGTTGTAATAGTTTAGTTTTGTACTTGCCACATATACACTAGATATTCAAACCACTGTTCAAATGTTTGTTTCTACCGTTTCTCTGGTTCTTGCTCTTGCCACATCCGCAATCTTTGCGGCTCCGACTGTTTTGTCTGCAGAAAATGCCATGGACAGCTCTTTATTCTATTTTCCAAAATCCACCTATCACAATATTCCCTATGATCACTCATCCAGTCTTATGGCTCTGTCCAATACTGACTCGGTCAAGATTGGTGTTGCATATCTCTGTGACCAACTCAATCTCACACCTAACGAGTTCAAGGTTTACAATAACTTTACGGACAGTGTTGGCGTGACTCATGTATATGGTGCTCACATTATCAATGGTGCACGTGTAGCCAATCACCAAGCTGCTGTCCATATCAAAGACGGTCAAATTACGTCGTACTCTACTTCGTTTGGTACTGAAAGCCATTTTGCCAAAAGTGAGCTTTCAATTGCGGAACCCAAAACCAAACTGACGTTTGAACAGGTTGCTGATATTGTGTCCAAGGCCAAGGGCTTGCCAGTTTACTCTGGTTCTAAACATGAGCTCGAGTATGTCCAACAGGCTGATGGCACGCTTGCATATGCTTACAAATTCCAGCTTCGCGACGAGGATGTTAATTTCTGGTTCCAAGTTTGGGCCGATGCCAACACTGGTACGGTATTTCAGGTTCAGATATTGATTTTTATGGATTCAGCACTAATCTGAATGTAAATGGATTGATATTAGGCAAACTGGTCCAGGCTGTTGATTTTGGTCATCATGCAACATACAAGGCTATTCCAATTCCTGGTCTCAGTCCTGATGATGGATTCTCCAACATCAAAGATCCAGAATACAAACCATCGTCGCCTAATGGATGGACAAACGGAACCCTTACCCGTGGCAACAACGCTGAGGCGGTCAACACTGCAAACACTCCATCGACTCCAGGAACTGGTATTAATGGTGTGTTTGACAGTAAATTCAATCCTGCAACTGATATTAACGATGCAGACAACATACAAGCAACAGCCGTCAATCTGTTTTATCTTGCCAACCTGATGCACGATATCACATACCAGTATGGTTTCAACGAGGCTGCTGGCAATTTCCAAACCGACAACTTTGGCAAAGGTGGTAAAGGCAGCGATGCTGTTGTTATCAGTGTTTTGGACACGGCACGCAGAGAGAATGCTGATTTCCACGCTCCTCCTGATGGCGAGCCTGGCAGAATGCGAAT